GGTGTACCATGCGTGTGTACGACGCAGGCGTCGAGCCGCAACCTCGTCGGGAGGAAGGGTCTCGTCCCGCTTGAAACGTAGCAGCTCTTGTACCCATGTGATCGGCGCACCGCTTGGGGTCGTAGCTGCTACTTCGATGGCGTGGGCAGGGAGCTCCTCGACCTCCGACCGTGCTTTGGGGGTTGGCTTTGACGCCGACTTAGCTAGCGCGTCGGCTCGCTCGTTCTCTTTCCTTGGAACATTAGATAAATTAAAATGAGGGAATTTGGTAGCCAGGTCCCTTACCCGTGCCAGGTACTTCGCCATGGTTGGGTCCCGAGCTTCGTATTTGCCACTGAGTTGCGAGTCAGTGAGGACGTGTATGGCAGCCACTTGCATCTCGAGGGCCAATCTGAGTCCTGCTAGGAGCGCCTCGTATTCCGCTTCGTTGTTAGTGGCTTTAAACCTGAAGCGGAGGGAGCGCTCGAACGAGCGTCCGTCGGGGGCGAGCAGAACCAGCCCCACGCCGGCGCCCTTCGAGTTGGCCGAGCCGTCCACGTGTAAGGTCCAAGCCTCGGGAGGCTGCTCGAGATCCCCGTCTGCCATCTGAGTTAACTCTGCGATGAAGTCGGCCACAGCCTGAGCTTTGATGGCGGTCCTTGGCACGTACCTTACATCGTGTTCGTCGAGCTCCACCGCCCATTTGAGGAGTCGTCCTGCAACATCAAATTTAGATAAGACTTACCGAAGAGGCTGGTCGGTGATGACCTCCACCGGGTGGGCCTGGAAATAGGGGCGCAACTTCCGAGCTGACAGCACCAGGGCGAGTGCGAGTTTCTCTATCGGTGGGTAACGTTCCTCGGGCCCGCTCAGGACGTGGCTGACGTAGTAGATCGGAAGTTGTTCGCCGGAGCTTTCCTTGACCAGGACGGAACTGACTGCATGCGGGGAGGCCGCTAAGTAGAGGCCCAGCTTCTCCCCGGGAGAAACAGAGGCGAGTCGGGGGAGGCTGGCCAGGTGCTGCTTTATCTGTTTGAAAGCTTCTTCGCACTCCATTGTCCACTGGAAGCTTTTCGGGTTCTTGAGTGCCCTGAAGAAGGGGAGGCAGCGATCGCCCGACCGGGCGAGGAAGCGAGACATGGCGATAAGCCTTCCGTTAAGCTGCTGTAGGTCTTTAATCGTCCGAGGCGACTGCATGTCGATGATTGCCTGAACCTTCTCCGGGTTGGCGTCAATTCCTCTTTCATGTATGATGAACCCGAGGAATTTTCCGGAGGTGATGCCGAAAGCGCACTTTGTGGGGTTAAGTTGCATGCCGAACTTGCGTAGTGTGGCGAACGCCTCGGTTAGGTCGGCAAGGTGCGTTCCGGCCTCTCGGCTTTTCACGATCATGTCGTCCACGTAAACTTCCATGTTCCTCCCAATCTGATGGGCGAACATCTTGTTCATCGTTCTCTGGTATGTAGCGCCAGCGTTTTTCAATCCGAACGACATGACCTTATATAAATATACCCCTTGATCGGTGAGGAAGGTTGTATGCTCTCTATCTTCGGGCGCCATCCTGATCTGGTTGTATCCTGAAAAGGCGTCCATAAAAGAGAGGCGTGCGTGTCCGGCCGTTGCGTCAACCAGCTGGTCGACCTTCGGGAGGGGGTAGCAGTCTTTCGGGCATGCATTGTTGAGACTGGTATAATCAACGCACATCCTCTAGCTTCCATTGTGTTTTTTCACGAGGACTACATTGGATAGCCATTGTGGATATCTAGCTTCTTCTATGAAGCTTGTTGCTAAAAGTCGGCCCACCTCTTCTTGTATGGCGCGTTGTCGGTCAGGGGCCTGCCGCTTGGGTTTTTGCTTCACCGGGCGAGCGTAAGGTGGGATGTTGAGATGATGCTGTGCGACCCCTGGATCGACACCCGTCATGTCAGATGAGGACCAGGCGAAGACGTTGGTATTTTCCCGTAGGAGACCGACGAGTTGCTCTCGTTCCCACTCGGACAGTTCCGAACCGACCTTGACGGTTTGGTCTGGCCGAGCTTCTTGCAGTGGTATATCAACGGTGGGTCCCCTTGGCTCGGGATGGGGGGCCAGTTTTTTTGTTTCCCGCGGATCCTCCGGCGGTGGTTCGATCCTGGCTCTCTTGCGTAATGAGACGGCGGTCAGGTAGCAGCGCCTGGACTCTCGGGGGCTTCCCGTAACTTCCTCGACCCCAGCGTGAGTCGGGAACTTGATGGTTTGGTAGTAGGTCGAGACGACGGCTCTGACTTTGTTGAGGGTCGGCCGGCCAAGTATGGCGTTGTAAGCAGTGGGAAGGTCGACCACCAGAAAAGTGGTCATCACCGTCTTCGACCTTGGTGGGGCCCCTAGGGTTAAAGGCAGAGTGATAGCTCCCAGGGGCGATATTGAATCTCCTGTGAATCCGGTGAGCGTTGAGCACATCGGCTTCATAATCTCCCTAGCCAAGCCGAGCTTCTGGAAGGCGTCGAAGTAGAGTATGTCGGCCGAGCTCCTAGTGTCGACCATGATCCTTCTCACCTACGCATTGGCTACCCTGGCCGATATCACGAGGGCGCCGTCGTGCTCGGGTTGCTCGGATACTCCGGTCGGGAAAGTAATCTCGGGCTCGGGCCCGTGTCCGGGGGCTTCGTCTGAGGCGGCTCGGGCGTACGCCTTTCTTCCCGACATGGAGCCTCCCCCCGATGCGGGACCGCCAGCTATTACGTCGATGTGTCGCTCGATGGGGCCTTCCGGGCGTGGTGACAACTCTCTGTCCGGCCGGAGGTACTGGCCGAGATGCCCTCTGCGAATGAGCTCCTCAATTTGCCTTTTCAATTCATGGCACTGTTTAGTGTCGTGTCCATGCTGCCGATGGAAGCGGCAATATTTTGAATGGTCCGCGAGCTCTCGCGGGTTCCTCATCGGGTGAGGCTCCTTGAGTAGCCCCTTCCCCTTCTCATGGAGAAATATTTCTGTTCGGGACGAATTCAAGGCGGGGAGAGGACGCCTTGGGTTGGATCTGTCCAACTTACGCCGGGACGCGGCGGGTTGCTGCTGTCGGGGCAGCTCCGACTTGACCATTTTATGCTCTTCCTGCTTCCCATCCATCCATGTCTCCGCGGCGATGAACTGGCTAGCGCGCTGAAGCATCTTGGGGATCGCGACGGGGGGCCGCTCCACGAGAGACCAAAAGAACCTTGAAGGCCGCAGGCCTGTCATGAATGCCTGCATCAACAGAGAGGGGTGAGCATCCGACAGTCCCCGAATTTGCGTCGTAAAACGGTTCACAAAATGGGAGAGGGGCTCGTCTTCCCTTTAGTTGAGTCCGAGGAGCAATGCCATGGACGGCTTTGGTCGAGCGTAAGCCAGGAAGTTAAGCTCGAAATCCTTGGCAAGTTGATCGAATGAGGCGACGGTCCTGGCCTTCAGACCGTTGTACCACGCGAGGGCTGGCCCCCGCAGGGTTGTTGGGAATGCCCTGTACATCAAGGCGTCAGAAGTCCCGTATAACGCCATCTGGGCGCGAAAAGCGGCCACGTGGTCTGCTGGGTCAGTGGCGTCGTCATACGCATCTAGCGAGGGGAGGCGGAAGTGTGGCGGGATCGCTTGATCTTGTATCTCGGGGGTGAACGGAGATCCTTGCTGTCCGTCCGCCCCGAGCTCTCTCTTTGACTTACGAACTTCTTGTTGTACTTCGTCAAGTCGTTGACTGACGAGGCGCAACTGAGCTCGCAGGGCATTTGTTGAGTCGGCAGATGGAGCCTTGGGCTCGGGGCGACTCGCCGTGTCTTCGGCCTCCCGGCTCCCGGGCCGGGCTATCGGGTTTCGAGGCGAGGTGGGGAGCTCGGGAAGTAGCACGTGAGTCCGGGCGGGGGTCTCCTGATGCCGCGAAGGCCGGGTCGCATGTGGGGGGGTCCGCTGGGAGACGATCGGGATGATAGCCTGCACCATGCCCGTAAGGGCTCGGACTTGATGAGCGAGGTCGTGAAAGGCCTCGGATGATACCGGCGACGGGCCGGCGTTTGCGCCATCGGGAGGTGATAAGCCCGGGTCGTTGAACAACCGCCAGTAATGTTCTAACGTTGCGGCGGGGTGTTCGTCATGGGATTCATCATGCGGGGGATGTTTCGCTGGGGTGGTGATCGTGGGCAGCCCGACGGCTGCGGGTTCGCCAAAGTGGATTCGCTGGTCGCTCGACATTCGGACGAGGGCCCTTCCTCTAGCGCCAATCTGTTATGGTAAATAACCTTTTTAGCCGTGGCCTCGGGGCCGACGCGGCTTATTCGGGGGTCCGAATGGCGGGGATCCTGCGCGGCGTGCCTCGGGTCCTCCTGGTGGCTGACCGCGATGATCTGGATGTCCCGTCAGGGGGAGAGCTCTGCCGTAGCGTCGGGGAAGAGGCAACCTCGTCTCGCACCTACACACTGGTCGGGTCGGAAGCTCGGCCCGACCCCTCCGACGATCAAGTTAGCGATGTGGAGAGGATGTTGGAAGAGGGTGTCTCCCTTTTTCGTTTAGAACTCTGGGGTATTTGTAGTTGGGTTTGATGTTACCTGATGTGCCTGTTTGCAGGGGTAGGGCCATACCTCTGATGGCGTCTGACATTACCGCTGGAGTAGCGTAGAGAACCGTACTGCAGCGGGGTATGGGCGAGCCTCGGTCGACGTCTTTCATTACTGCTGGAGTAGCGTAGAGAACCGTACCGCCGCAGGGTATGGGCGAGCCTCGGTTGACATCTTTCTCTGCTCCGATCGAGCGCGCGGGGTTAGACGGTGGAGTCGTTGACCGGGAGCGGGTGACGTAGGCGCACGTCAAATCGGCGTTAATGCCCACTTCCTTGGGCAGTGAGTCGTCTAAGTATGGCTGATGTCGTGGCGTATTGCGTCAAATTTGTTTTTACCCCTACGTCTTCGATCCGACCCGGTTTAGTTGAATCCGGATCCGAATATTTTTAATATTATATTGTTATATAGTATAATAATAATTCCTACCCCAAACCCTAACCGTCTTCGATCGCTTGCATTACCTGTGAGGGGTCTTAAATAAACCCTAGAGGAGGTGAAAGAGGGAAGGAGGATGCTGTACATCATCGGGTTGGGGCTGGGTGACGAGAGGGACATCACCGTCAGAGGTCTCGACGCCGTCCGCAGCTGCCACAAGGTCTACGTGGAGGCCTACACCTCCCTCCTCTCCTTTGGCCTCGCTTCCGATGGCCTCTCCAGAATGGTGCGGACCCTCTTCTTCTCTGGCCCCGTGGCCCGGTGAGGGTTAAGTGTGCTTGAAACACGATCCTTTTGCAGGAGAAACTGTACGGAAGGGACGTCGTGGTCGCCGACCGGGAGATGGTCGAGGAGCGGGCTGATGAGATCCTCTCCGAAGCTGTTGATTCTGATGTTGCCTTCTTGGTTGTTGGAGATCCTTTCGGGTATGGTTCCTGCTTTTTCCCTTTTTTTTCTCCATCACTAGTAAATCCACTAGACTCTGTTCCTAAGGTGGAAGTTCTTGCTCTGCCCTATTTTCTTCTCCTTTTTTTGGGAAAGTTTCTTTATATGCAGGAGATACATAATTATGCCTGAAGAACTTTATATGTTTTAGATATGTACTTGTTGGTCTCATTTTCGGTTAATGACGCATCTTATTGTTCTTTCCTGTACTATTATATCTGCCCTGGCTACTGTTTATTCCTTCAGCTGAAACTGGTAGTTTTGTCAGCTGCAACTAATCGATTGAAAAGTTTTATTCTGATGCCCTGCTCTTGGTTATTCTAGTTTTGTGTGCTAATTGGTGATTGATTTCTAACATCCATAAAGTGTAGTAATATACTTGATATCTCTGAGTATCTGGGTGTCTTTGGAAGTGAATTGTTGGTGCTTGCATGAGAATTTTATAGTTGGCGATTGATTTTTAATTTTTCTTTATACCAATAGATGACAAAGAATAAAAATAGTTGTGTTGATTGGACTGTGGTCCTTGTAAGTTTTAGCTTGCATCATCTTGTAATTCGAACTGTCCAACTCCATTGACATCGGATATTGGCTGGCTTTTTGATGTTCATTTTGGTTTTACTGGAAAATATATGTTGTACTTCTATTAAAGAATTATTCTGAAATTTACCGCAGAGCAACGACCCATACTGATCTGGTTGTCCGGGCAAAAAAGATGGGGCTGAAAGTTAAGGTGATACATAATGCATCAGTTATGAACGCGATTGGAGCTTGTGGTTTGCAACTTTACCACTATGGCGAGACAATTTCCATACCGTTCTTTACAGATACATGGAGACCAGATAGTTTCTATCCAAAGATTCAAAAAAACCGACAGCTTGGCTTGCATACACTCTGCCTGTTAGGTGAGTTCTCTATACTTCTGATCCTTCTTGACTTAGTGAACCTTTTTAATGTGCAAGGTGAGAATCATTGATACTTGAATATATCCTAGAAGGTTGATATGCACTTAAAAAGCTTTTTAGTTTATACTGCCTAGTACTGGTAGCAGATAGGCTATATGGTAAGCAAGGAAAAGGAAGAACTAGATAGTAACTGAGAGTAGAGATTTGAGGCCATTAGCCTGGTAACCTGCATCATCTCTGTGTTAATTAAATACTTACACAACAGCCTGTGTTTTTATGTCAATTCGGTCATACATTGGAATTTGATTTGGTTGTGGTGAGCATTTTGTAAAGCTTTCTTGGGGTGTACTCGGACACGTTACATGCCATATCTATTTCAATTTTTTCATAACAATTTCTGAATGTTGCAGATATACGAGTTAAGGAACCATCATTGGAGTCATTGTGCAGGTATAGTGCAAAATGAATTGATCTTTTCTCTAACATCGTATCATTTGCGTTCCTGAAGCAATTTTTTTATTGTCTGAACTCTGAAGTTAATAACACTTGTTTTGATTATGGCATAGGGTTATTGTTCCAGGCACAGAAGTTTTCTCGTTTATTCCCTTGTCTTTCTTGATCTTCTTTCTGACACTCGTGTGGGTGGTGTAACCCACTAAATGATTTTAATTTTCTGCACCTAAGCACAAACAACATTCTATTTTTCATATGCACTTTTAGCTTAGTGAGGCTTCCCTAATATTCTTTTGGATTTTGGTTCTTGAATTTCCAGAGGACGGAAGTGTTACGAACCACCAAAATATATGAGTATCCACATTGCTATAAATCAACTCTTGGAGATTGAAGAGACTAATGGAGGATCTGGTACATACTAGTGTGCATCTTATGTGTTCTATATTCATGCCTTTTTTCTTTGCTTGTTCACTAGGAGTCTTGTTTTGCTAGGTCTGGTTGAAAAAAAAAAGTTCTACTTGTGTATAAAATTACTGATCAAGCAACAATATACTATCTATCATATTTGTTGTGGCTGACAGTCATGCATTTACCTTTTTACAATCGGAACTACAAAGAATGCATGAAATGTGAGTTATCCATAATAGACATGCCAGCATGCTTGGTTTAATAGTTGAATGATTCCCTGAGGTACTTCAACTGTTAAATACTCTAGAAATCAATTTACACACCTGTGATCACCAACTTATTCAAACGATCAAGCTTTGCCAGCAAACCTTGTTTCTTAGATATGCTTCCTTCTGATGTAATGATTAACCTACCTTACATGCCAAGCTGCATGAGAACTTGTCCAGTAAGTAATTGCATGACCTGAAGTATCTTGATGGATAAAGTTATCCATTCTGACATGCCGTTTAAATTCTCTTAGCAACAAAGTTTGAAACCCTTGTCTTATTTCTTCCTGGCTTTTTAGCTCCTAATTATCTCAGTATCTGTAGACTATGCAATGCCTACATATTGATCAGATTGTAATACTTTGTTTGTTTTCCAGCTTACAATGCAGAGACAAAATGTGTAGGAATCGCTCGCCTTGGTAATGATGATCAGATGATAGTTGCAGGATCAATGAAAGAATTACTTGATATTGATTTTGGTCCACCACTTCATTGCCTTGTTATAGTAGGAGAGACTCACCCTGTGGAAGAGGAGATGCTAGAATTCTATTCAATCAAGTCATGAAATGGGTAAAATTTAATTCCTGGCAGGAGATGAGACATCTTCATCAAATACAGGTATGCATAACAATCAAGTTATAGTTGCACAATACTATTCTATTAGTACCCTCTATTTTCATCTAGTTCTCTTCAATGATAATTCTCAGTTCCGTCAACTTGTGTATAAGGACTTCTAATGTAAGTTTTTGTAGTAGTTGGTCATTGCTAGTTGTTTGCTTGAGCATAATACTTCTGTTTCTGTTCAACCCTGTTGTTTTCCATTAAAATAATTCTCTTCCATATATAAGTATTATAAACATGCTCTAACTACTTGGATGTCTCCTCAGAGACCAATCTTAATGACTCAGGATGGTAAACATGTAAAGAATTATGATAGTCACTTGTCAGCGCCGGATAAGCATTCCTGTAAACACCCAGAAAACTAAATTATCAGACATCATTTTCCTTGACACAGCCTCGTAAAAATCTCCTTTCTGAAATTTGGTGGTACAGAAAGATCTTGTTTTCTTTTGACAAAGTTGCCTCTGCCATGCCTGGATAAATCAAGCAAAATAGAGGGCCCTAAGGAACTTTTTACTATTGCTATTTTTTATTAGTTCAGACTGATTAATGGGGCTTGAGCTTTGACAGGGGTAGTATAAATTATCACCTCATGGTATCAACTTATGGTGGTGGTTCTGGCCATGAGTTTCCGTTCTGTTTAGTGGGAGCACCCATCTGTGGTGTGGCATATCATATGGGAGAGCTTTTAACTATATGATTGTCATTTAATAGATGAAAGAGCTTAATCTATAATAGTTTTTTTTTCCTCCTGCATTTGCTTATTCAAATTGTGGGAGTAAATGTTAGATTGTGGGACCAACCTGTCCCCTAATACGGTATGATTGTCCACCTGACTTGTTTTTAGCAGTACATTGTTTTGTCTGTATAAATTATTAAAGTCTATCAGTCACCTTTAAATTAAATATATTACCATCAATTAATTTTTACGCCACAAGATAGTAGTACCATGTTGAATTAGAATGATATGGGAAGATACATATATTTTTAGGTTCTCTCCATCTAATTGTTCATCCAAGTTAAAAGCACAATTACACAATTTGGAATTAAACCAAATTAAATTAGGCAATCTACAATTTGCTCTTCTCTTTGCTATCAAGCTCAACAAATAGTAAAACCACACAGGTAATTTCTACAGAGTGCATATAGAACAGTTATCTTAGTCCACCTTCGGCTCGAGGTAGAATGGTAACAACAAAATATGAATAAACCCAAAGTTTCTATGCCACTTCAATTTGTGTTTCACCTTCTAAATGGTTTTTAAACTTGCAGATAGATATAAACGCCAGCACACAGTGATGGAAGGGGAGCACTGTGCCATTGTTTGATAATCCAGGAAAAGATAGATATTTTATCAGCACCATGTACAACTATGCATTCATCCAGACATTTTATCGATTACATCTGGTAATGTACACTTGTTGAATGTCTTTTTCAAGTAATATGAGTACGCCTCGTCATGTACTTTATTCACTATATGATTACTTTTTATCTCAGACATTTTACTGATTACATCTTATCAAGTGCAGTATGATTGTTTTTTTACAGTATTATGTTTGTTGTCTGAAATTTTAGTTGCTTCTAACATCAATTCATGAAATTTATCATGAGACAATTGTTCTAGTAGTTGCTTTTCCTTCTCTGATGCAGTGTATAAGTCGCAGTTTATCTCTCTCTCTCTATATATATATATATTAATTGTATATTTGTATTTGTATATTTTCATATACTTGTTTAACATAAACATGAGACTATATATATTTGTATAATTTACACTAAAATTTGTAACGGAGAGTGTTGTTTCAATACTCTGCATGGAAAATATTAGAAGCAGAAGCAATGGAAGTATTAACTGCAGAGAGCTGTCATACCACCGTTTAATGAGTTCATAAAGGTCAAACGAATGCTTCTTTGGACGTTTCTGCCATCCTCGATGAAACTTTGTAGACAACCATATATATCTGGTGGCGCATCAAACGACTTCGCCGCCGCATCGTTCACAAATTATTTTTCGTTCCCCTCTCATAGCAGCGGAGGAGCTATTATACCTGCACGTTTGACATTTCCATGTAGGTTGATACATAAAGCATCAGCATCAGCATCAGCATCAGCATCAAGACGATTGTTTAAACCATTCGTGTCCATCATAAGGAAACATGTGGGAGAAGATTAATAAACCAACGACACCATAGCAACTAAATTCGTACGGCAAAATTTATGGTGGCATTGTATAGAGGAATTAAAACGTTGGACAGAGAAAAGCTAAACCTTTTTTTTTTCTAGGTCCACAAAATCCAGATGTTAAAAGCATTGAACTGGAGAGTGATCTAATATTCCTTTCTAACATCAACATGAAGATCATAATAATCTTAGTAGCCGCGCATGTTAAATGTTATCCATAGATTCCTCTGCGACTGCAACAGTTCTACTCCTTGGACGTTATGACCAGCAATCCCAGAGCACCAATCAGTAAGTACTGCAATATGCAAAATGAAGATATCAAAATATGGGCAACTAAAGCGATGAACAAGTGCAGGTGCCAAAACAAGCAGCATCCATCATGTAGGCTTGTCTGATCCAACAATCTACTCCAGTAGGCCGTCAGCACATGAACTAATCAAAAATTTCATGTAAGCTTTCTTTTGTTATTTTCGTTTCCAGCCTATTTTTTTTTTAATCAGAATGACAACATGTAGCAACAAGTCCAACTGGAGGCTTCTAATTGCCACCATATGACAAATAGTTTAGTCCATCGACCGATGATTCTAAACATAGGCCAAATGCCTAAAACTATCATCCTAAACCATTAGAGCATAAATCAGTTTCAAATCTGTCCTAAACTTGGCATCAGGATGACAAGGTTGCATGCATCTCTGCCACATGAGAACTCGCACCACGAAAACAATATCTCTGAACTCAGGGATAAGACTACAGATTATGCATCATATACGTGAAGAAAAGACTGTGGATTAAACAGGGAAGATTGACCACATGGCACAGAGATGATGAGATGTATGTTGAAGATTTGAACTCAACAGATGTTATAACTCACACTTGCTGCATTTGTCTCAGTTACAGGAAACAATGAACTGACACCTAGCCATTTAGGTGTTGATGGTTATCATGCTAGCACAATCTAATCGATCAACCTTAGATATTTGTTTGGCATATACAAGGATTTCAAGGTTATAGTGCTGAGGATTCCCAGAAAAATAATGAGACTGTTGAGTAGGCCAGATATCCAAATATAATAGCACTATGTTGCCAGACTAAAAACCTTGATATGTGCTAAAAAGGAAAAAATATAAACCAAGGAAAGCAGCCTTTTTCTGCCTACCATCCTTTGATGATAACATATGACATCTACTTGGTAGAAATCATACCTTAATAATTGGTTTCTCAGTCATGATAATTGTAACCCAACCAACATATGGTAGAAACCTGGTAAGATAAAAATGTATGTCATTCATTCAGACATGTGATGGACAAAGTTAGCTTGGACAATTGAAGCTCAGTTGTACAAGATATATTTTTGAAGATGCAACACTTAAGCTGAGTACAATAGGTCTTACCCTACAGCACGGCCCATGATGTGATGACGCTGGAGCCAGAGCTGACCATGGGCATAGAGAAGCCTATCATCACCAAAATTATTATCCCCTGAAAATTAGATCAGGATTTACTATTATTACTCAACCCTTTCCACCATAAAGTTATTCAGAAAATATATCTTACGAAAAGAACAAGATGGAAAGTAAATACAAGAATGTATCTGAAATCTCACAATTGCAAATTAAGGATAAACAAGGAACATATAGACTGTGTTTGCTATTACTTTAGATGCCATGTACCGCAACCAAGTTAAAACAACCCAAAAACTTAATAAACTTCTCAAAATTGCAGTTTAAGTTGAGGTTACTCAAAGCAGTAACAGATGCTTTTGTTCTATTTCCTACTAAAAAGAACACACCCAGTACACGGGGCGCCCGCCTATATAAGGTCCCAGAAGAGTCAATGTATATAGTCTTACCTTTAAATATAGAGAGGCTGTTCCTACTGCACATGTATAATTATTTGCAAAAGAAATATGTTTCCCACTGCACATGCATAATCATTTGCCAAAGAAATTACAAGGGTCACATGATACATCTTACAATGCCCTTCATAAACTAATAGAAATACATTAGTTGAAAGGTGAAGCTCTACTAATTATCTAGAGAGAACCAATTATAGAATTTTGGTACCTTTTGTAAGAATATCGACTTCTCCAGTATCGTGCCGCTCATGAACCTGGATATAGAATTATAGAAAATACAATAAGTTCAGAACTTCAGAGAATCAGGGCTAAAATCCTGCTAAAAGACTTAGCATAGATGACTAAAGCATATGAAAACTTAAGGATCACAGAAAATAGATTGATGCAAAATTAAGTTGACAGCACAAAGAGATCACAAATGCTAAATATCATTTAGATGATGGTAGACAGTAAAGGGGCTCCCATCAATGAGGAGTTTGGGGAGGGTCTATATACGCAATTTTACCTTTAAATATTTAAAGATAAAGGAGCAATCTTACTATTGTCCCAAGGCCAGCTCTCCATATTCATCAAATTTGAGAAAATACCATCTCCATATTCATCAAATATTCACATCATGTGCATCACAAAGATACCATCACCCTTTTTCAGAAAAACACACAAACAGCTAATTCTAAAATATTTGTGTGCTGCAAACCACCTTAAGCTTTATACTTCTAGAAACAACATATTTGCATATCATAAGAAATTTAATTGAACTTCTACTGGCTAAAGTATACGTCCTTAACCATGCGACACATTTCCACCATTTTAATACCATGTTGGATTTCACTAGCTACACAATCAGTGATGATCATAAGTTGGCTTGAACTAGGCCTCTACCACATATATGAATACTGGAGAAAGCAGAAGGAAAAGAATAAACAGGAAAATTTATCATGACCCAAAGAATAACATATTTTTAACTGTCTGACAAATTTCAGATTCAAAATGTATAAGATGGATTTTCCTATAGCAAAACTGAGTTTAAAACAGATGAACTACATAGTTGCTAAAACAGAAACACCATCAGTGTATTAATAGAAATTGGATTTGCATCAATGCTGATATCATTCATCAAATTGAAAAAACCAAAGGCACAATTGGAAATTGGATTTGGATTTGGAATTTGGATATAACAATGAGTAACATATAATAAGTAATCAACAAAAAGGAAGGAAAAAAAGAATGAAAAGAAGCTCACCTTGATTACACGATGAACAATTGGAATTTCACGTCCCTGAAAAGCATGGATAACAAAACTTCACAAACCAAAAGAAGAAAAAATTGCAAAACAAAAAATGAACAGACTTGAGAAGTTACAATTAAGCATTATCCAACTGATGAAAACATCCTAAAAGAAATGGAAATCCTTATGGTGTAATGAAAAGCAGTAGAACCCAAAATTAGGCACAAATTTACATGCTTCCTTGAGCTTCTTTATAAAAATTCTGCTCTCTTAAACCTTCAACAAACACTCCCTTCCTATTGAAAATCCTCACATGCCACCTATGCCAAGATCAATTTAACAAATAACTAAAAATTGTTTGTGCCCTGTGATGTTCACAAAAGGAGGAAGAGGACATGAAAAATTGAAAAAGTTAAGGTGTTAGATAAAAAATAGAAACAAATGCAATTTAAAAGTCCACAGAAGGCCCAATAAAAATGGAACAAATGTGTCTTATTTTAGTGGTTATGTTTGTAAGTTCCTAGTTAATCCTATTTGTGTACTTCATACAGTTATGTAAACCTAAAAAGTTTATTTTTTTTCTGAAGAAAAGGAGAAAGAGCTATTGTATTATGGTGTCAAAAACATAGCAGCATCAGGATCAGCTAGAATATCTATTTCTGAATGAAACAGTTAAAATAACATATTCATGAATGAAACTCGCTTCAAAATGTCGAGCTAGAATGTCTAAATCATGCAACAACATTCTGTGATTGTATGGAAAATTCAGTACATTTGTGATATATAAGATGGATACTAAATAAGAACAAGAAGAACAAGATTTCTTTTATCAAAGCATAAAACATATATCAAAGAATTAGTGAAAACAAATGGACAATGAAAGTTAGATATATGACTTAAATTAAACTAGCATATCTTATTGCAAAAGGAAAAGCAGCAAGATAGTAGTGATGGAGGGGAGATGCTGGCAAAATGTAACAAACACTAGCCTAAGGTAATGTCCACAATACTTACGTCAACATTGAATACAACTATTTCTCCAGCTCGAATAGGATCCTTACTCATGTGAAGAAAGAGAATATCACCCTGTAACAACAACAACATAGTTAATTACATCATTATACCAAATCCATGATAGTTCAGGGAGATCCTTAAGCTTAGTCAGAAAGAAAACAAAGATTTTTTACATAGATAAGAACTTGGCAGTTCGAAGCTGATTATCAGGAAGGTTTTCATATCTGGAAATGAATATGCTAAAACTAATAATAGGCCTGAACATATAGTCTACAAACCTAGCGGTGCATTAATCTAAACCAAAGGAAGAAAAGAGTAACCAAAACACAGTGATTCGCTGATTCTGATACATATGAAAGCTTGAATCTCCAAAAATCAAATGACATAATATAGGATTTCACTTATATAAGATTTTTAACTTGGAAGACACTTGTCCAATGATGCTCTAAACATCCATCTTGCACATGATGCAAAAATGCCAGACTCATATATGGTCTAAGTGCATAAAATTAGTAAGCCAACTGACAAGTGCACACCCTTCACAATCTGAATATAATACAAGAGTGCAAAATTCATTTTTTTATTCTTATAATCAAAAGATGCTGCAACATAATCACAGTTGAAAATTAACGGCCAATGGTAAATGTGTGGTCAAGTCTTCAAAGAATAGTTTTTAATTTTCTATATTTTTCTTTATTTTTTATATTCTAAAGGGTCTATTAAGCTAGATATTGTCTGTGAATGATTCTAAGTTCTGAGGTTTGATTGGAACGCATTCAGTATGATTATTGATTCCAAAAAATCTGGGTAATATGTTTCTTGGTAGAACAGTCTTAAAATGGGGTTGCTGTATAGCCCCAATTATGACATATCATATGGTGGAATCTTGATGCAGTATTATAAGATGCTTGCAAGTCCTAGGAGAAAATAAATCTGATCAGGAAAGTTCTTTGTGTTCACGATGAACCTTTTATGCTATCTCTTTCTTTGTATTTCCTCCATTTTATAAATTTATATCATTCCCCACCATTCATCTCTCCTCTTCCTTGGCTCTCCTTCATCACTTGCGCTATATTTACTATCTGTTGTCTTGCTTACCACTGAGGAATGTCACCCTACAAGTCTTAACTATATAAAAGGTTCATAAGAACAACTTTGTTCTAACCCACCCGCATTGCATCAATAGATCCGAAGCAATAATCGATCAAGAAAAAGATCCCAAAGCCACTGACCCTCTTGAATCCGGGTTCCATGCTTCCGGAGAGAACGACCACGACGGGAGATTCGCTTCCAGTCACACACATCAATCCTTTCCATATGATGAGAGCCGATGTCACGATCATACCTACAAGAAATCACCCCCCACACTTCAAATCGAGAGGTTAAACAATCCCCAATTCCCGATCCAAGACTTCGCAAGGGTTCAGTAAAGAACAAGAAAACCCTATTTCGAGGCCATCGAGTAAAAAGAGGAACGAGAAATCTACAAAAAGAACAGGGACGAACCGAGGCTGACGATCTGCGTGAGGACGTGCCTGATCTGAAGAGTACGGATGGAATCCAAGCTGTCCGCAAGCCAACCCATCCTCTCGGCTGATCTCCCTCTCCCCTCCCTTCTCGCGCTGCTTTGCCCGAAGAGTTCAGAGAAACGCGTTCCAGGATCCCTAGGTGAGGTTAACGTAAGCGAAACACTGTTTGGGTGAGAAGGTGGGTAGGGGCCCTGGTGTTCCGTTTGAAGAGCGAGTGATTTAAGGTGAACTAGAGTGAAGGCGGGAGTTAATTTAAGTGTGATATCTGATGCAGCGAGAAATCCACCCGCTTGGCATACCGGCCCATGTGGCAAGCTAAGATTGGCAGTTATTCGTGCCAAGCCATCATCAACCGCGTGGCAGGCTCGACACGTCTGTTTAAGAGCTGACAGAGCCGACTCGACCGTCGTGGACGGCTCGACACATCAGCTTGAATCAGGTCATCCCGTTGACCAACACGAACCCGACACATAAGTTTGACCGAAAATTATTACAAAATATCGTAAATAAAAACATATATTTATATATACCAATAAGACAAAAAAAAAAATCAAACAGAAAAAACACAGCAATAGGAGTTTCGGGTTTAATAATATATAAGATAGCAAATTAAGAGTTATTATACTTCAAGAGGACAATAATACTTCAAGCCAAAGACTGTCAAAAAAACAAAAAAATGGAGGAAAAAAGAAATTAATTTTTTTATGACACTCCAAAATAGGACAGATAAATTCTTTAGGATCATCACAACTAAGATTTGAAGCTGATCACTGTATGAGAAGGAGCTGAGTTTTGGTTTAAGGTTCATCAGGAGAGATTTTTTTGAGGGATAAAAGGAATGTTTCTGCATAATTTATCTTTTGGTTAATGGTCCAAGTCAGATAAAACAAATACAACTCTCACAGATTGCAAGCAGCTATTTTACAGACAGGTTTATGGATCAAACAATAATGATATGTAAAGAAAATTGAGAATAAAATACGGCAGAAAAAGGAATCCAATAACCACTTTGACCTGAGAGATGCAATGCATATTCTATTAAAGTACCACATCAGACTGGGAACAGCTAAACCAGATTCATATGGTATGGACAAAAATCTAATAACATTGTCTTGTGTTTATTGATCCAAAAAGCCCCCTACATTGAATGTGCATCAAGTTGCACCAAAAAACATCTGAGATCTAAGCACTTCACATATTTCGGAAAACGAATTAAACAAGCAGCAGACTTGATTCTCAACCAAGGGCATCACAGCATGAAACTTATTGGCAAAGAAAGTATGTGCAGCATCATATATGTCCTGGCCATCTAAACTCTGACCGGTATCGATTTTTTCTGGTATAAGAGCGCGAAAAGCAATGCACCATGTAAGGATTATTATGTCTGAGAAAAATGCTTAGTACCAGGCACTTCTGTCCTCTTTCTCTGTCAAATTCTTGCCCCAGACTTTGGCTTCAGTGACAACTCCCTCTCTAACAAGACCATTACTGAGGTTTTTCGGTGAGCCTCGGGCTCTGCCTACATCTACCCTCGTGCATACTTCCTCCTCTTGATGCCTATGCCTGAAGTCGGAAGAGTCATGATGTGGTGAATGCACAACATGTTCATCAACAAACCTGCCTCCAAGGAGTCTTTTGTCCTCCCTAACCCGTTGGGTCGATGAACAGATCCCGGCATTTTGAACTGCAGTTGCATTTGGGTCATAGGATTGTGATGCTAAATATGAAAGTGCCGTCACAACTTCACCTATGAGGGGTCGAGTTGCTGCTTGTTCTTGCAAGCACATTGCTGCAACAGCTAGAGCTTGATATAGACCTCTTATTGGATAACAGCCTTGAAGCAAGGGGTCAACCATTTTAGGGAACTTTCGTCGGTCTTTAAACAATGGACGAGCCTGCAAATGAATCAAAAAGAGAATTTTTGGTTAAAATCAGAAACTAGAATCCTCAAGAGGGTAAGAGAAACCCAAATTCATTGTTTGTTAATTGAAGTAATCTAGATCTTGCTTTCGGGATCTATGATATGAAATAGAATCTGAAGAACCATACCCTGAAATTGTGATTTTATATGTGTAGATCCAAGCAAACAGGAGGCAGAATTACTTCCTGAGGAACATAGTTCCAAGTTGAAGAAGAGGTTCGGTAGTATGCAGAAGTGCAGCATCGATCACATTCTCAAAGTAATTCACATTTTAAAGCAATGAAATGGCATGAACTTCTACAAGTGCATGCACAAATTAATCTAGTATGCCAAGCAAAGCTATGAAACAAAGTACGGGATCAACCTACCCATAAGACTACATTCTGTTCTCCTGCAGGTCGGGTAACATCGATGGCTTTCCGTCCAGTAATCAGCTCAAGAAAGACAACACCAAAACTATAAACGTCGGATTTTACTGTTAGCTGCCCGGTCATAGCATACTCAGGAGCACAGTAACCATATGTGCCCATCACCCTCGTCGAGACATGAGTCTTGTCGCCAACGGGACCAAGTTTTGCAAGGCCAAAGTCTGATAACTTCGGATGATATCCTTCACCAAGAAGTATATTAGATGACTTAAAATCTCGATAAATAACTGGAGGGTCCGCCTTATCATGCAGGTATTCCAAGCCTTTGGCTGCGCCAGCTGCTATTTTCATTCTAGTATTCCAGTCCAGGGGTTCCTTATAAGGTGGTATGTCTATCAAAAATGACAAACCATTCAATCAGAAAGTCATAAACAAGCACATAATTGCATACACCAATTTACAAAACTATATTAAATACATTGTTTTCTTCTAAGTTACTTGACAATGGAGCAAATAATTTCATCAAGTCAAAAGCAGCAAAAGATCTTAAAAGCAACTTATGTAGCTCACATTTATAATCATCCAGGATGAAATTCTTTCATTCAAGAATAACCCCACTGTGAAAAATAATGACAAACAGATGTTACTTCTCAGGATGAATTCATAACTTGGACTCAAGAATTACGGGCCACATGGCTCAATGCAAATGTCCAATAAATTATGTTGATCATTATTAACAATATAAAAGCACCGGCATAGGAATCTCAGTATTTCTAACAATTAAGGACTTTTGTAGTTAAAGTTCATCAATAGGATGATTCTCATGCAGCCTGATCCATATCCTCTGAAGTGAATATGATTTTTATTCAATAGTATGATTTTATGGATTTCTGACTTTGTTTTAACAATATTTTGCAAAATCCGATCCTCCAATCCGTATCATCCAATCTGAACCCTTTTTTCTAGAACAGCAGATTTTGATAATGATCTTTACTTTTCTAGCATTGGTCAGGCATCAGGCAATTTAGCAAAGATCAAGCAAAATAATCTGACACTACAATTTTATCAAGAACTGTCTATTGATGTTAGTATCTAATTTATCTCAACTACATGGCTTGAAAGCAGCTTCTATGACTGCATTTGGAGAGTAAAGTGGGATACCACAAGTAAGCAAGAGGATCTAGAAATATTATTGGTTGTTTTCAGTTCACCAACCATCTGATGACCTTAGAAAGCATTTGGCAGCAAAAGGGGATATATTTGAAGGAAAGCATTTAGGAAGTATGTGTGATTGCTGATAAAAATTTCAACATCAAACGATTGTCCAACACCGAAATAGCATTGCTATTGCTCGTAGCTTTTGAGATAGATAACAGAGGTTATACAACAAACTAAAGATGATCAGATACTTTGGTATGGTAAACATGGAAATACTATGTATAACAATACACAAATAGATGACCAATTCGAAAGCTGTTAAAGAAACCAGCTATAAGAAACAGTGAAATTCTTAACATGATCTGTTACTATGATAGAACCACTATGTATCTAATTATATGGATCACAAGCACTACAATTAAGAAAAGTTAAATATAAATCACCAGTATAAGTATGGAGCCTGACCATGCAAATGATCCTGTAATGATCCCAATGGCATAAACTCATAGACAAGGAGGCGTTGATCACCATCAGCACAATAACCAACCAAATTGACAAGATTAGAGTGATGCAACAGGCATAGCATAAGGACCTCCACTAGAAACTCTCTGTTCCCTTGAAGTCCATTTAGGTCGAGTTGTTTAACAGCAACAACCTGCAAAACTTACGTTAGTAGCAGTGTCCATCGATAAAGAACATAATCAAGATAATTACTAAGTGAAAACACAGAACAAATGCAGAGAACAAGAAGGTTCTTTGGCTATCCTCATTGCTGTCAACTCAATTACGGCATACCGATGCATTCGGTGCTACAACGACTACAAGAAGCCGTAATGTCCCGACTACTTGGGACCCATCCATTAGATGATTTGAAACAAAATGACACTAACCTGTCCATCATCCAACATTCCTTTGTATACACGGCCAAAACCACCTTCACCCAGAAGGCAATCTTGTCTAAAGTTCCTGGTGGCTGCAGCAAGCTCATGGAAGGTGAAAGTACGTGATGCAATAAGTCCAGCATTTTCTTCTTTTGGAGCCGATGCTTCCTTCTTAGAGTCTGAGACGTTTCTCGGTTTTGATTTGTCTTACACCACAAGCCATTTAGCACGATAAGCAAAAAATCAGATTAGATCAAACACCACTAAGTAAGACATACTTTTGAGCTGAATTATGAGTTAAAATGTACATAAAATTGACAAGTAAATTCACAAGCATTACTTGGAGAAGCCACTACAATTCTTCAATCATATTGTTCAGAAGCAGAAAGACTAATTTACATCTATCATAATCTTCTGAAAGAAAAAGGCATGACAAAGGCCATGCATACATCTTCGGTAAACCTTTTCATGATTGAATTTTGAATTTGAAATTATGACCGAATTGTATTGTAGCAGAAACAGACAGCTAGAAAGCGATAGTTCCAATCGACATGATTCTAAACGAAGACGCAACAACAGCAAGCCCCATAAATATAATCACATACATTCTCGATCAATTCAGGGAACAATACAATAAAATACTAATATCCTAAAAGCACCAGGTTGGAATTGAGATTCCACAGATCCCACTAGAACTATACAGAAGTGAACGGTCGAGACTGAATCAACGAACACTACAACCGAACAGCAGATACTGCCCATCAGATTGATAGAATACTCATAAAAATCCAATCTTTACCCATCAAAACCAAATTTCTTACCAAAACGGACCCCAGCCGAAGTCTCCGCCTTCGCATCCCCTCCTCCTCCCACCTCACTCCTCTTCTTCTTGTCCTCCTCCTCGGGCGATTCGAAACACGGGAAACAACCCATATCAAATCTCTCCCTCCTCTGCGATCAATCCCAACAAAGTGTTGCCTGGAATCTCATCGAATGACCGCATGAGAACCAAACAAAAAGAATCATTCCTTATCCGATACGGAAAGCGACACCTCAAGAGAAGATAGACAGACAAGAGCGAGAAAGGCGAGACAAAAACGAACAGAACAGGAGAGAGAGAGAGAGAGAGAGAGGGAGAGGGGACGAGAACGAGGCTCGGTCAGCTGTAAGGAGAAAGTTAGTCAATTAAGAGGGAGTAAATGTTGTGATTAATTCGAATGTAAATTCCGACATTAATGTGTAATTAAATCTACTATTGCCTTTAAATTTCACGGAGATTAAGGCGTTTGGGATTGCATCGAATCTAATTCTTTTCCTCTATATTATCCATGGAAAAAAGCACGTAGTGACGTGTATATTTCCTTTTTGCAGTTACCCTTCTCATCTACCGGCCTCCCGCGTGGGTTCAGCCGCGGTCCGCGGGTGGGTCCCACACAAAGTCTTCACGGCGCGTACGCGAAGTAGCAAACGTTCTGTAAACCGGGCCGGCTTGGCCGACGTCGAGATGACGTCATAAGTCTTCTTTATTAAAGAAAAATGGGGAAATTATGAAAATAAAAGATGGTAAAGAAAGATATAACACTATTTTCCTTTAGAATTTGTGCATTTTCCATGAATGTCATTTACCTAAAATCAAAATGAAGAAGGATCCAAATCTTTCATGTACAAAATTGTTCATTCATAACAAACTTGTAAACGTAAGACATTTGAACCTTTTTATAACCTAAAAACTATAGAAATTTGATGACATGTAAGTATTAAACCATTAAATGGATGAATATTTGCCACTTGACATACATTGTCATATGAAAGTCCATCGAGATAAGCTTGGTAAGATAGTATGCTAAAAACTAGTTAAACTTCAATGAAGAATAAATATAGGAGAATAAACTGACATTGTTTATTTGTAGATGAAAGCTAAAGTGAGGAGAAGATGAAGCTTCATTCTTATCATTTATGATCAGAAAAATAATTACAAACCTCCTTCTCACCATTTATAACTAGAAAGATAATCGTAAATTTTAGGTACAAAAGCTCTCCTTTAACATTAAAAAAATATGGACTACTCGCACTCATACTCATACACCTTGGGTTAGTAATTTGAACGTTAGAGGGATCGGGTCCATCTTGGAGGCATATCAGACATACATTGTCATATCAAACTTCTCCCGACCTCAATTTTTGTGCAGGTGACACCTAAGTGCTCATCGTTTCCATCTTGGAGGCATGTCAGACAATCCTATGTATATATGTTTGGATCGTATCGAGCTGACCAATACGTCAACGACTTTTTCCTTTAACATTCATGCATTAGAAGGAGGGCATGATGTCCCAGGAACGCCCACCTACTATCCCTCTTAACGAATGCCCGAGTGAGGAGGCTCTTCCCCTGACTCAACACTTTTATTTACGAGGGCAGTAGCCTCCCTTTCTGCAAGTGGATGCATCCACCTTGGCGCAAACATCGACACGATACTAGTGTCTGTTTAACGACCTAGGGGTGACCCCGAACCACTTGCTTATCCTGCTAAAACATTCTTAAACCTCACATAGTAAGTATAGACACTAATGGGTATGATATAAGTTGTTGCTCTACTCTTGGCCCAACTAACCCAACTGGCAATATCACCACCTCAACCATAGTCAATAGCTAAATCGCCATCGGCAATAATGCTTGACGGGGTTCCTCCACATTATGCAATAACGTTTCAAGAACGCTCGAGGCCCGTTGAACCATCGGTCGAGGAAGCACCTCATTCCCTATTCGTGGAGTTTAGTGGACTACCACACCATTACTCTGTTTCACCTAAATCCCATACCCAATCAACATATTCAACGAACAATTTCATAAGGATCTAGCTATGACAAATGGACCAATGCTTGGAAGAGATACGACCAGAATTCTAACAATTTAGAGGGGAAGGGTCGACCAACACCACATCGAGTTGGTCGTCATTCATCACAAGCATCCAAGATAAGTCAATCCTGACTAATTTTCATCTCTCATCATTGGAGGCCTTTGACAGTAACACTGGCCCACTGGAGCACATTGTTGCTTTCCGAGTCCAAATATTGTTATACAGTACTTCAAATGCCTTGATGTGTCGCACCTTCCTAACTGCGTTAAGAGGCTCAACATGAGAATGGTACACCCGTCCGAAATCGCTCTTCATCAGTTTCTTTGTTTAGCTTGTTAGAGAGTTTGAGCTTCACTTCTTCGGGAATATATGCCTAAAGCCATCGGTGGCAATTCGAACCCCTTTCGAAAGAGCCCTGAAGCACGCCTTTAGGTGAAACAAATGATTAGGGATACATTGTGGGATAGTTATCCACGACACATCATCGCCACATGGTGCCTAAAGAGGGAGGAGAAGACGAAGTATTCTTCTTATCATTCATGACCAGAAAGACAATCACAAACTTCTTTCTTACTATTTATGACTATAAAAATAATCATAAGCTTCGTCATTCAACTAGAAAGGCAATCATAACTTCTTTCTTGTCCTTTACGAGGTATAAAAGCTTACCTTCAACATAGAGAAAAGGGAAACTATTCACACCCGCATTCGCGCACCTCGGGTCATTAACATGGGCATCGAAGTCGAAGGGACGAGGTCGGGTAACCTCTTTTGACCTCGATCTTTATGCAGGTGATACCCTAGGAGCTTATCATTTTTATCTTGGAGACACATTAATGAGCATCGAATTCGAAGGGACGAGGTCGGGTAACCTCTTTTGACCTCGATCTTTGTGCAGGTGATGCTCTAGGAGCTTATCATTTTTACCTTGGAGACACATCGGATAAACCCTGCGTATATGGATCTGGATCATATCGGATTGACCAAAATATCAATAACTTTTTCCCTTAATAAATATGCTCAAATACACTTATTTGGGCAACACAAAAGAGTTGAGATGTGACTTTGGAAGGCCATGACATTGCAGTTCAACGTCTCAGGAATCATTCATGAAGTACATGTTTAGCTGATAAAAAGGAAATTACTCTGATTCATTTGAAAAAGTAGCACTCGTCACAACTGGGTGCAGGCAGCATTTCAAACTCCAAAGAGATTTCAATCTGTACTAGCTGAAATGTAGCTTCGTACATCATTCATTTCTTCCTCTTCGGTGATACAATGACAATCCAGGTGATGATGCATGTTATCTTTGGTTATACTGAGGTTAACTGGCCTTAGACTCGTCGTAGAGCAGCACCGTCCTCCCATTCAATGGCTGTGTTGGCCTTGAGTTGTTGTAGTACTCCTCGTGCAAAGGCGCCTTCAGTTCAGCTAATTGTTCCGCGGTCATCTCCCTCACCTACAGTAGCATGATGCAGTTGCAGGCATTAGAACCGAAAGATGAGCTAAAAAATAGTCTCACATGGTTGAGTGTTCAAAGAGTTGAGCTATTTATATCGACGTCGATTTGCAACGTAAACAACTCAAGCTTTTGGGTTGTAATGATGTCCAATTAACATATAGAATGCCATGATGAAAAGGTTCATAATTAAGTAGGATACCTTGCCGAGGATGTTCCAAATGACATTCTCAGTGCATGGAGGTGTGGTAAGCGATCCAACATATCTGAAGTACTTGCGAGAGTGGCGTTTCATGGCCCTCGTTTGCACAATTCCGACTGGAACATGTGCCTCTTCATCACCAGCGCAGACTTCCTTGGCCAGTTCAGCAACCTTGTTCTTTATCTGCAGTTCAAGAATCAGCAAGCAGCTAAGTAGGAGGAAAGATTTTATAAGTGTAGCAGGGTTTTCCTGTCAACAAAACTGAGTAATGCTTGACGATGTTTAGTTCCAATAACTCCACTACTAGATTGTAAAGACAAGAATTTGAATTCAAAAAAAAGAAAAAAACTCTTCTGTAAATTATGAATATTGAAATAATAGCTTATTTTTTTATAAATCTGGGGTGTGACATCTATGGAAACAATTCGCTTGTTTGTATGGATAAGATTGCATACATTGACCGTCACAAGTTCATGCAAAAGTAGAGCCTCAACTTGTGTTTTATTTTGTTCTGCTTGTAGTTGTACTCACTATTGGGATTGGATGGCAGATATAGGCTCATTCATTTCTCACAGAGAAGTAAAGGGAAAGAAGGAGAGGCATGGACATCGATACCTGGGAGACGAAAGGATCAGGATGGCCGAATCGATACAGGATTGCTACAACTGTGATGTTGCCGTCATCACTACTGTGAACAAGATGGAGCTCCACAGGGAATCTGTTGATTTACAATAGTAATTTGAGGCACCAAAACAGAAAGAAATAACAGATAGAACTTGTAGTGTTGCTGGTGCATGGAGCAAACAATTCCACATGAGCCCTCATTTATATCACATTTCGGGGCTAAAGAAGAGTTGCTCATGCCACAATTCAAGCTTTACAGTAATTTTACATCAACTTGTGTTTCACAAAAGCTTCAGATCTGATAATTCTACTACTTGCACAACTGTAAAGTTCGATCATCAAGTTTGCATTTTGGTTTTGCAGAACAACAGATTACACAAGGATGAGGCTACAGTTTTATAAGGTGTTTAATCTTAATGGACTTGCAGCCATCATGAGTATAGAAAGGTGAGATAGTAATATGCTTTTGACTGTATACTTCTCACAAATTGCAAATGATGGCACTACTGGTATCAATATTACTGTTGTTGTAATTGTTGGAAGTAGTAAGAGGAGTAAAGATAGTAAATACCGCTCTCCATCAATTGTGTGCTCAGAAGGTGAATGCCAATGCATTTGTATCAAGGTGTAGTTCTTTCCACCCACAATCACATGCCCTACACCACTGTCATACCGAAGCTACAACGAAGACCAGAAATTAGCTACTTGAGATTTCGTTATCGCACTGATATAAACATATCATACATTTTGATGAAATGCTTAAACTGATTTCTGATAAGAAAAAAATGTTTTAATGGAAGATGTTGGGTAATAAACATTAAGAATCAAACTAGGTAACTAGTTATATGCTAAACCACCATCGGCTAATTAAGCCAGTCATGAACCTTGAAAACTTGGTATCCAAAGCTTTCATTCAAATAAGAAATATCAAACCAAAATAAGAATGTAAAATATGAATAGTATTTCAGCAAGAAATTATGCATAAAACCATAGAAGAAGAATGAAACACAATTACTATATGTGATAGAAATAAACGATAAGAAGTAATTTTGCAAATTGCAGATTAGTTTAGGCTTTCTTCCTTCTTTTTATTTTGGGAAAGTCGATCCACTTGTTGGAGTAATATTGTGTACAAATTGTGTGTATATAAGATCATGCTCAGAAAGTTCTGATGCTTAGGCCTCTTTAGCTAAACAAGTTTACAATCTTTGAATTCCATGAAATCAATGTTATGACCTATATTGGAGCAGTTATTTTCCCGAAAAGGCTTTATCTTTTCAAAAAGTTTCACTAGAAGTTTTTTATTTGTTTCCACATTTAAGATCATTTTACACACCTTAGTTATTGTGTTATAACACAGGACAAAAGGAATTTCATGGAATGACTTAAATGGAGAAAACTTAAGAAACGAAGAGACAACACAACCTTCTTCAGGAAAACAAAATAAAACCTTTGCTGAATTATGAAAGCCAACTAAATAATTACTATCTGTTTACATGTTTAGAATTATATATGGATCATATAATTGACTTAATTTGCCATTATGCTGCTTCTTATATGCTTCCTCTTCTCCTTTCTTTTCTCACTTTAGTGTTTGTTTGTCACCAGTTAACTAAGAAACAAACCGCAATGTTGAAGCCATTGTCGACAAGGGTAGCATTTGTGGCAGCATAATCCCTCTGAAGAGGTTCGAGCGTCGGATCATAGACCACATCATCTTTCACAATATTGATTGGAGACTGATGCTTTCCTTTTGAGCACAGTTCATAGTCAGGGCATAAGCCACCCCACTTGTCAGGTCCAATTGCTCCCCTGTACCCAAACCTTACAAAATCTGTGGAACAGAATCAATTTAGAAGGAATGGCCAGACTCAGACATCATAAGACTTAACACAGCATGTTAACTTGGTAGACTAAAAGAATGTGCATGTTCTACTACAACATCAATGACTATTTATCATAGACTTCTAGTGATGGTGATGAAGATTTTATTTCTATTTCATGGAGGCATATTTTTCCCTTAAACAGAGATTAAAGGTCAGATGAGAGAAAGCAACAAGAAAGCTCTATCTCTAGCACATAAACATCTGAAATGAAGTGATTCCTAACAAGCAGTAGTACATAACAACGGAGCACCATTCCATTTATGAATCAAGAAGCTGTTTCAGCAAGAAAGAAAGGGAGAGCCTAACGCAAATGCAACCTAAAAGACTGACGTACCATGCGCGCTAGCATAGGCCACAAGAAGAAGAGAAGCTACCCCCAGTGCTAGGGTTGCTCTTCCTGCAGCCATTCCCAGCTCTCTTCCTCCTGACCACCTCCCTTGGCTTCAAGATGGTGGCCTTATATGTCTATACCTCTCTGCCTATGGAAGGTGAGAGAGAAGAAGATGGCCTTATATATCTATACCTCACTATCTCCCTGCCAAACTCCCCCTGCCTTTTCCCTCTCAAACACAAGAACAGACTTGGGCAGGATGTTGCTGCACTCCAAATTTATAGCCGGAGCTCTATGCCTGGTATCATTCATAGCTTGGTCCAAGTGCCACCTCTACGCAAGAAGATTTAAGATAGCTAATTAAATTTGGAGACTAAGTGTCACGATTCCGGTCCAAATAATCTTACAATATACCTCAGAAGAAAGCATATCAAACACTCAGTCACACTGTCGCTAATGGAGATCTTTCCTTGTCATAAATGAGGAGGAGTTCATAGGATGGTTGAATTGGATGCATGAAAAGGGTGTAACTGAGGGTATGGCATTAAGGTGGTGGACCAAATAGCATGTAAGATCTTTGACATATTTTTGCTTGTCTGACAATCTCTTGCATGTTCATTAAATTTAACAAAAACAATGAAATATTGAAGAAAAAATTCATTCATTTCAAACTAAAATATAAAAATATTGATATAATAAATATGTTTTTAGAGGTTCAAATTAATTTGTAACCTCAACTCAGCTTGCCAAACTAGATCACATTAGAAAAAGAGGATTTCACAGTGTGGCTCCACCAACTACAGATCATGGCACGCAGAGAGAGAGAGAGAGAGAGAGAGAGAGAGAGGAATTGCAAACATCCATGTTCTGCAATGCAGATAATGTTGTGAGATCCAATCTTGCAGTGGCCTCTATTGGGTCCATTTCCAGGAGTCAAAGCAAGCATATGGCCAATACAAAGTTACAAACAGAAGAAGTCAGCACAGAAAGAAAAGGCATCTTCCCTTTTGGAGATCTGACTGTGATGCAAAGTTCTCACAAGGATCTCTTTGAGACACCCAATTAAAGCTGACACAATGGATTCGCTTCCTCTGTTTCAAGCTCAAGCTCAAATCTTTTGCCCAAATCATCTTTCACAGAAGGAATGGTAGCAATCTTATACCTGAAAGAAGATAGAATCATCCAAAGCAGAACAGATGTTGGGAGTGGAAATCAAAAGGGAGAATATGCATACCTTTTCCACCCATCAAAAGGAGTTATTCCTCCACCAAAAGCTGACAAGTGCGTGTGTGCGCGCGCGAAGACTACCACCCAATCAGAGATTGATCCACCACAGAAGGTGGATGGGAGTCATCGAGAATCGTTGCCTTTCTTCGTGTTCTCTGCTTCAACAGATGTTTGCAAGGCAATGTCTGCTTTACAGGTGACAGCCACCCGCTTCATCCCTGAAGTCCAATGACTCTGCAGGTTTGAGGCAAAAGCATTTGCTCGCTGGACCTCCATGAGACCTGCACACTTCATGATTGGTGGCATGTGTCTTCTCCTGGCCCAGCTAGAATCTTTCAGCTGCCACCTTCCTCAGTGCTCACCCAAATTGATGGTGCCGTAGGAACGGATGTGGTGTCAACAGTTCCAGACTCAGAGCTCGAGTTGTGGTGAAGAAAACATCATTAGAACTGATGACAGGAGGCATTGATAACAAGGCATAGTTAAGATGAAGGTAATCACTCTATTTTTATTTTGACTTGTTTTTTATTTGAGATTGATAAGTATTTTGGATTTCTATATTTAAATTGGGTATGAACCTAATATTGGGCCGATCCTACCACTTATTGGGCCTATTCAATAAGCCTGAAATGGGCTATTGGGCCGTGAAATGGCCGCCAATTTCCTTCGTGTTCGTGTTACCTCTGCGCTCGAAGAGCCTAAGAATAAGCCCTCGAGGAGCAAAACCCTCGCCGTTGCTGTTGGTGGTTCCTCCCGATCGTCGTCGATGACGGAGCTCAAGAAGATATCGGAGGCGCGGGACCTGATGCGGATCGAGCGCATCGGGGCACACTCCCACATCCGGGGGCTCGGCCTCGACGCGGGGCTCGAGGCCCGTGCCGTGTCGGAGGGGATGGTGGGACAGTGCGCCGCCCGCAAGTCTGCTGGGCTCATACTTAACCTCATCAAGGAGGGCAAGATCGCCGGCCGTGCCATCCTCCTCGCTGGCCAGCCTGGCACCGGGAAGACCGCCGTCGCCATGGGCCTCGCTAAGTCCCTTGGTCCTGAGACCCCCTTCGCCACCGTCTTCGCTTCCGAGATCTTCTCCCTCGAGATGTCCAAGACGGAGGCCCTCACCCAGGCCTTCCGCAAGGCCATCGGCGTCCGCATCAAGGAGGAGGCGGAGATCATCGAGGGCGAGGTCGTCGAGATCTCCATCGACCGCCCTGCGGCCGGCGCTGGGTTGTCGGCGGGTCAGTCCTCTTCCAAAACTGGTAAACTGACCCTTAAGACGACCGATATGGAGACGGTCTATGAGCTCGGAGGGAAGATGATAGAAGCGCTGGGCAAGGACAAGGTGCAGAATGGGGATGTGATAGCGCTGGATAGGGCATCTGGGAAGGTCACAAAGCTTGGGCGGTCGATCACGCGCTCGAGGGACTATGATGCCACCGGTCCGAGCACCAAGTTCGTGAGGTGTCCAGAGGGAGAGTTGCAGAAGAGGAAGGAGGTGGTGCATTGTGTCACCCTTCATGAGATCGATGTTATCAATAGCAGGTATGAGATTGCCCTCTCTGTCCAAACTATTACTTTTCAGTTTGTGATACATTTCCATTATGCTATTGCATAAGAAAAAAGAAAAAAAAAATCATCTTTTAAGACTCCATGAGTGCTTCCATTCAAACCTTATGCATTGTATTAGTACTTTGTGAATGAAAGAGCTCCATTTTAGGTCTAAAATAAAGATTACATATGAACTAAGTACCTGCTAAGGTGTTTGTTTCTTTACATTTTGAATTGAAAATTCAGTGCAATTGTTATACTGTCAGTGATTTTTAGAACTTTTCCTTTTCATTTTGAGATTTTTGATGTTGATTGATAGAACAATGGGCTTGCTAGGGCGACTGCAGGTTTAATGAATATTCTTCAAATATGATAGTCCAATTGCAGCTTGAAGCTTGCGAAAAAACAAAAAAAAATATGAATACAGATCTAGAAAAAAAATACTCCAAGCTTGCGAAAAAAAAAAACCCGGTTGACACGATCTAGAAATTATGCAAGGGTTGAAGTGAAATTTTGTAGCTTATGAGCTTGACATTATATGAATACAGATTTAAGCACTAGATTCGTTATTGACTATGGTTGGTGTGAGAAGAAAGAATTATGACATCAAGAAAGTGATGTACAAGTTGCCATCTTCACTACTTGAACAGAATCTAAAGACCTGATATGCAAGACTTTTCATCTTTTAAAACCCTTCGTTGATGGCATCTGGTGTCTATTTGTTTGTAAATCTGATATTCTTGGAGTCACTAGTCACCATATAAGGTTTTATTGGATGAAAGATCAAAGTGACTTGTTTTATCTGTTGGGTTTTGTATCTTCCATATGGTTAACCAAAATTTTGTTCAAAATTATGCCTAGTCATTAAATGCTTACTGAAACTTTTCTCTACTTTTCATGGTTTCATTATTCAGCTATTGATATTAGTTTGTCTCTGTGCCACATATCTTCATAATTTTGTTTTACTTCAAACAAAAGAAAATTACTAATAGTTTAATATTTGATTTGCATGGTAGCTTCTGATGTCGGTTCATGTAACACTGTCTAGTGACTATTAGTTACAATGCTACTGAAGGATCTACTTTCAGGTAAAGATTTTGTATCATTGGTTTGTCGAATATTGTGGTATCGTAAGAATTTAGGATTCTTACTACAATATTATTTGCTAAGATGTAGACATAGTTCATGTCACCGAAGCCCTTTTCTCGTTATATTCGATAGTGTGTGGAGCATATGTTGCAAAATCAGAATTGCAATTGGTATAAGCTATCGTGTGGACCTGTGGATTGGAATAGTGGGGTTGGAATCAACCGAGAAATTGTTTTATAAATTTGTAACTTGTACCCTGTGCAACTTTTACCTTCTTGCTCATTTAATATCAGGTTTTCTGAAGCATTTGGTAAGGTATCTCTGTTCCCAATTTTGATATCACAGTTTTCTGGTGCACATTATGCCTTTGCTTGCAGTAATCCAGGGGATTGAGGTTCTTTCCAGTCGATAAGGGTTTCAGTTAGTACAATACGTTGGACTGATAGCATACTTGAGAAAGATATGAAGCACACTAGTGATTATTTTCTTCATGCCATTTCATATCATGTCTGCTATATATTACATTAGAACTTGTGAAACATCTCCTGGAATATTCGTGTGGACTAGCATGAATGGAGCATCAATATTTTGTTTTTGTGCATATTTTCAAGCTTGCTCATAGTAGCATTCTGTTCACTGGGATTTCAGGACGCAGGGTTTTCTTGCACTTTTTACTGGTGACACTGGCGAAATCCGAGCCGAAGTCAGAGAACAGATTGATTCAAAGGTTTCAGAGTGGAAAGAGGAAGGGAAGGCCGAAATCATACCAGGAGTCCTGTTCATCGATGAGGTCCATATGCTAGACATCGAGTGCTTCTCCTTTCTCAACCGTGCCTTGGAGAATGAGATGGCCCCAATACTGGTTATCGCAACAAATCGTGGGATCACGACTATCCGCGGAACTAACTACCGGTCGCCTCATGGAATTCCAGCCGATTTCTTAGACCGCCTCCTCATCATAACCACTCAGCCATATACAGAGGAAGAAATCGGCAAGATTATCGAGATCAGGTGCGGAGAAGAAGAGGTGGAGTTGTCCAAGGACGCAAAGCTCTTGCTGACAAAGATTGGGGTAGAGACGTCGTTGAGGTACGCCATCCACCTTATCACAGTGGCTGCACTGGCTTGTCAGAAGCGGAAGGGGAAGACAGTCGAGATGGAAGACATAAGCAGGGTGTATCAGTTGTTTCTAGATGTGAAGAGATCAACGCAGTATCTAATGGAGTATCAGAACCAGTACATGTTTAATGAAGTGCCCAAGGCGGGCGACGAAGATGAAACTATGCAGTCTTGATCTATCATTCGATCCTGATTCCGGTCATAGGTTGCGTTGGAGATGAGAGACTTAACAGAGTGCACACTGACGAGTAGGAGGAGATGCCATTTATGTCTTTTGCAGTGAAGAGTTCAACAGTTTACCTGTAGATTATGACCGAGGAAATGGTTTATCTACTGATTGATGGATTGTTCGAACGCCAAGCTTCATCTCTAGTTCTTGCATCATCATGTCCTAAAGCAGCTCAGAAGGGCATAAGCTATTTCAAGTTAATAAGGACTTTTGACAGTTAATGATACTAAAGTCCATTCACTTATTCTTTGTAAATTAATAATAATATGATATTTCTATTGTTAATTTTTTTGTTATTTATAATTTAAATTTAAAATTTTAATATTCCTAAATATTTTTAACTTATCACTTAATTCTAAGAAGCTCTTTTGATTCCTCTCATACAATTTTCTATCTTTTTATTTATTTATTTCGGATGAAATGAGTTGTCGAGAAATTATATTTTATTGAGAAATTATATTCGGTAAAATTACATTTTATTATTTGTCCAATGATTGTATGAAGTAAAGGGTTTGTTAATAATTATATGAAGTAAAATGATTCCTAATAATGAAAAAAAAAAACCAATAGTAATCTTCTAGTAATAAAGTAAAAAAAAAAAAAAGCAGCAGCAGCAGAATGCACATGCAGACAACTGGAGATGTCGATATATGAGAAATAATAATCTGCTTTGCCCAAGAAAAAAAAGTGTTCATTCGACAATAACATAAATGAAATGCAACATACCATGTGGTCTGGACCATCTGCCCCAGCTTAGAGTGGATCTCCAGATCAGCCATGAGCTTTCTCATCCACATCATCTTTCTCATCGACCCTCCATAATGATTTCAGCGAGTCCTTAGCCTTCCTCCTCGACTGCCAAGTCGCATCTCTTTCGTAGAAATCATGGAGGAGACGCAGAGCCTTCGCCCTGCCCATCGCCGGACCACCGTTACTGTTCCCATCTACTGCCGATTCCCCTTTCAGCTCTCCATTAGGTTGAGCCATGAGATTCAACAGATTTGTACTTCCCCTCCTTGAGCTCGACAAAGAACGGGATCCCTTCACAGTCGAAGGCAGCTTCCTGACATGGACGGGCATTTCTTCATGCCTGGTTGCAATTGGCTCCTCCTCCCCATGAATCCTCGAATCTGAACACAAATTGTGGTTTTGATTGGTACTGCTAGAGTTCAGCTTCGTCAGGGTCCTCTCTACGTCCACTACCGAGCATGGGTTGCCGACCGAGAGCCCGTTCCAAGCCCTAAAAGGCACTGTCTTCCTCAACACCTTGAGCTGCCCCACCACCTCGTCCATGGAAGGCCGCATCTCCTTGAGGGACCGCACGCAGCTGGCAGCGACCGACGCGAGCTGCTTCCTTGCCAGTGGGTTCTTGGGCGGGGGGATCCTCGGATCGAACAGCGTCGAGACCTTGCCTTTTCGCAACAGGGGAACGGCCCACTCCACGACCGATGGCGGGGAGTGGGCGACGTCGATCGCCTTCCGGCCGCTCATGATCTCGAGAAGCAGGATTCCGAAGCTGAAGACGTCGGTCTTGGTGCTCAGGCTCTCGGGCGTGACGTAAGAGGGGTCGAGGTAGCCAAGCGTGCCTGCGGGAGGGGTGGAGCGGGCGGATGAGGGGAATTTGCCGCCGGCGGCGTCGTCGTCGTCGTCGCGGAGGGCGAGACCGAAATCGGCGAGCCGGGCGTTGGAGTCTTGGTCGATCAGCACATTGGCCGACTTGACGTCGCGATGGATGACGGGCGGCTGCGCGGAGTGGAGGGTGAGAAGGGCTTTGGCGGTCTGGAGGGCGAGGCGGAGGCGGCGAGCCCAGCCGGGCGGGCGTGGGTTGGAGTGGAGGAGGTCGTAGAGCGTGCCGTTGGGCATGAACTCCACTACCAGGAGCCGCTCTCTCCGATCGTCGGAAGGGGTGAAGCCGATGAGATTGACGAGGCGAGGGCTGCGGATGCCGGAGAGGATCTCGATCTCGTTCTCAACCTCGTCGCGAGCGGGCGCGGCGGCCGGGGATGGCGGGGGGGAGGAGAGAAGGCGGGGGCGGCGGGAGGGGCGCTTGACCGCGACCTGGCGGCCGCTGCGGAGGACCGCCTTGTAGACCGCACCGTGGCTGCCGCGGCCGAGGAGGGCGCCGTCCGAGAAGTTGGCCGTGGCCGATTCGAGCTCTCCATAGGTGAAATGACAAATATCGGGGTGGGAGAAGTCGCGGGCTTCGCCGCCTGCGTCGTTGCGGACATCATGCGGTGGAGCCAACGATTTGGGGAGGTTGCTGTTCTTCTTCTTCTTCTTTCTGTGGGGGTTTCGGGAGGTTACATCGGACGAGGAGATAGAGCGGCAGGTAGCGATGGAGGAATCTGCATGACAGGAGAGGTAGCCCATCGAAGAGGGATCTGCCGGCGCCTCCCTCACATGTGTGGGGAAACGGAAAGGGAGTCAAATAGGAAGAGTATAGCGCAGAGTGGCGCTTATCAACAATAATACGTATGTAGGCCACATTGCCCCCGATATGATGGACACCTCTGGCCTTTGCTATGGATCGGTTCTTCCCATAGCAGTGACTGACCCAACAAAAACAATGATTTCCAAATTCATGATAGTGCTCTGGTTCATGCAGAAAAAAATAAGGATTCTGCTATGGAAAATACTAAAAGGAGACTTGAATTGAGAAAGGCTATAATTTTTATGGATTCACCCACACATATATCACAATAAAATTTGTAAAGGTAAAGATTCTAAACAAAGCAATGACAATGAACATACAATTCAAGAACATGATAATAGGAAAGATGATTGATTGCAAGGACCATAGTAATTCAAGAACATGATAATAGACACAAATTAAAATTTAGAGGGACAGTAAATGAATTAAAAAGTTCAGTTGCTGTCTAATTTGTCCTATTTCTATCATCTCTCCGCTTGTCTGTAGGAATAAGGACACTAACTGGCAGCCAGCTGCTACGGTGGTGGAAGAAACGATATGGGAAAGCAAGGTGGCTGCTTACATGATTGTTCATGGTAAAGCAAAACGACATGGTAGCTTTTATTATCAACCATAAAATATGACATAGATATCTTCCATGTACCAAATAGTTACCTATATCCCAAAAGAGCTACGATTCAGATAATCCTGAATTGAATGTTCTAATTACACCAACTAAGAGAGAGAGAGAGAGAGAGAGAGAGAGAGAGAGAGAGAGAGAGAGAGAATGTAAGTCAACTGAGATTTACAAGAAATAAACTTAAGCTGCATGCAACATTAATCTTGCAGTAGACTAATGCAAAGGACCACATGACATGATTGATGAATCACGCTACCTGCCCCAAGTGATGCTGGTCCCTCTTGATGTGCATCCTCGATGTTAGATGCATTAACCATACATGGCATTGTTTATGAAGAGTAGTGCTGTGGCAGATAAGGAGTCTTCAGTCTTGCGATTTCTTATCAGGCGGATTGTAGCGTCATGCCTCGCTTAGCCACTATTCTTTCGAATTCTGTACATGCCTCTGGTGTGTCTTCTTCGCTAGGAGGTACGATTTGCCAAAACAGAGGAAGATACACCTCCCACTCCCTCAAAATCGCAGCACCTTTACTACTACCAGTTTTTTCCTTGCAAAAGATAAGCAAAGAGTTGATTTACAGTACAAAATCACAACATATGGTTTCAATACCACAAGATGTTTTTCCTTACCACGTGAGCTTCTATCAAGCTCTTCAGCTGCATTTGTCCTGCTGGGGCATTTACCCTCTGAATCTTCACTATCTCCTTGTTGACCTGGTACACAAAATGCAAACAAGATCGGTATAAATACATAGACCTGGATTTAAGCCTCGAAATAGACTCCCAGCATTAAGGAAGGCAACCTGAGTAAGAAATCAAAGAAATTCAACTAAAAAGTCCAAAAAAGTACTAGTAGGTACATTCAAACACAAACTTGTCAAACTTGCCTTGGGTCATCACAAATGCACCGGATTAATGAGACATGTTTCATGTGACCAGAAGCATCTAGTAGGACAGGCCATGTATAGTAGTAATTTTATGTTTCTATGGTCAAGACGGATACGGTTCAAATATGTTGATTACAATTAAGAGCAAAGTTAGCATTGTAACTATCCTGCAATGGAAAGGTCTAGTGTACTTGAGTGTAACACCCTAACGTGCATGACTAGAATAGAATGTTACCTTCACTTATGCTATCAACAATAATATAATGCAAAGTTAGCATTGTAACTCAATAACTCAAATCTCATAAAAACCTTACCTAGGTAATGAAATACTTAAGGCCTAAGTCTTACTCTTACAGTGGATGCTCTGGCATTTTGGGCCACATTAACTGAAGTCCTTTCTTTGCTTGTAAGAGAGAGTTATTAAGTTGTCTTGCATAAACACAATACACGTGCACATGCACATGCACTTGAGAAATCTATTCATCAAGTTGTGGCATAATTTTTCTATAGAAATCAGATTAATATATTGATCAATCTTGAACATTGAATAATTTGACACAAACCTTGGGAATAAGAGTGTCATCCTCATCAAGAATATAAGCCAAACCACCAGTCATGCCAGCAGCAACATTTCTGCCCACTCTGGATAAAAACAGGAAATTAAATACGCATGTTAATAGACTAGTCACCTTCATGGTGTCAAATAATTTGGTAAAAAAAACACTCACTTTCCAAGTACCACCACACATCCACCAGTCATGTACTCGCAACAATGATCCCCAGTGCCCTCAACTACAGCTTCCACAAGAGAATTTCTAACGGCAAATCGCTCACCTGCTTTCCCTCTCACAAAGATTTGACCACCAGTTGCACCATATAGACAGGTGTTACCTACTATTGTAGCATCCTCCGGGCAGAAACCAGTGTCATCAACAGGTGTTACTACCAGCTCTCCGCCAGCCATACCCTGTGAAAATTTGACAATCTTAATTGAAGGGAAAAAAAGACTGTTCATGAGGGCAGGAACTGCATTACCTTTCCAACATAATCATTAGCTTCCCCAACTAGTCGAATATTCATTCCAGGAGTCAAGAAGCAAGCAAAGGATTGTCCAGCACTTCCAATAAATCTGGAGATAAGTAGATAGCGTATCAATTTTCTGCATTTTCAACTGACATTAGATCAATATAGAAATCACATGACATACGTTAGATTAAGCTGCCCCGCAAAACCTACATCTCCATACTTCTTGGCTATAACACCAGCTATGCGACCACAAACAGCACGATCAACATTATAAATCTTTACAGTTTTATTGACCTCTTTTTCATTCTCAATTGCATTGGATATCTGCATCATGAATTTTTTTGGTAAAAGATTGGCCATCAGCAGCGAAAAACTAAATGAAAAATACATCATCACACAGGTATCACATGGCTTCAAGAGAAGAGAAAGGTGAACTTGAGCTTGTTGAATTTCGGAAATTTAGACAGGTATACCTAGGGTTCTACGGGGATGATGCTTTAAAAATTTTCAGTGATCTAGACTATCGATAAAGGCATTTTCTTGTACCTAACCTTTAGAAGGTGTTAACTCAGATATACTGAAATGGTTGTGTTATTAATGAAAAGATGGCAAAACAATAACTAATGTCGAATCAAGGAGTTCCTGGAGAAAGGTGAATAAAAAAAGAAAAAAATGTCAGGAGTAATAATGAAGCCCAAGGAAAACAGGATAGGTAAGGGATGCATTACTGTGATTCATTTCACTGTGATCAATCCATATATTCAACACAAAGAAACTGTATGCTTCCAGTGCCAAAGCACTTGCTGATGTCAACTAATTAATTCTTGCATATCTTGGCAACCTAAGTTTACAATTTACTACAACAAGCAAATATTGTGAGACAAGACCAGCATAGAGAATCTATCATCATGTTTGCAAAGAAACAACAAGGGCATATGATTTTTGCTAAAAGCTTCTTCCATAGTTATTAACCTCGTCATTGAAAGATTGAGCAAGTTAACCTAACCTAGACAACTGGTAGATAACAAATTGCTTAGACAAATAAGAAAGTATTTGAAATAAGATTTACATAATATAATAAGTAATAACTAATTATGGGAGTGATAAGAAGTTTAAAATCTAGTAAAAATATTTGAAGGCTTGTTCATAGTTAACTCTAATACACATAGGCGATCAATTAACCCAACTAAAAAATTAGTGAAGACATAATAAAACAGTTACTGCAAGAAAAGTGGAAAACCAACATTTCCAAAATACAACATAACATAAAAATTCATCTTAGTTACTTGGATTCATAGCGAAATGATTTATTTACTGCTGGAAATAACTTTAAATTCTTACCTCAGGATCAGAAAGTATAATTTCATCTAATATAGGTCCATTAGTATGAACATCCTGATTCCTTATCTCAGTGCTGCTCCATTTAGGTAAGCCAACATTCTGCAAAAAATTGAATATAATGAATCTAAAGCCATGAAAACAAAAGGGTAGAAAACCTAAGGAGTTCAGTTTCTTACTGAAAGAAGGTAACTGAGATCAAGATGTTGAGTTTTTGTCAAAGAGATATGTCTTGGTTTTAATAAATCTGTTCGCCCAATTATGTCATCCAACTTCTCATATCCAAGTTGAGCCAAAACCCCTCTAACCTGGCCAGACATTTGAACCAAACTATATTCAATAAAATCTACCGAAGAGTAGAACAAAAATACATCCAAAGAGATACTAAAAATAGCAAAACAAGTTAGCATTTGGAAGTTGCACAGCGAGAAATATTCATTTTGATAATATAACAGAAATGTTACCTCCTCTGCAACATACAAAAAGTAATTGACCAGATCTCCAGGAACCCCAGGAAAACGAGCACGAAGCTCTTCTCTCTACAGAGTAGGACACTTTTAGCACCACACTCATCACTAATACACATGAGACAAAAAAGAAAGAACAAAATGGACAGTGAAAAATAATCTTCATGTTAATACCTGACTGGCAACCCCAACAGGACAGTTATTTGTATGGCAAATACGTGCCATGACACATCCAGTAGCTATCATGGCCACAGACCCAAAACCATACTCATCAGCACCCATGGCAGCAGCCATGAGGACATCAATGCCACTCTTAAATCCACCATCAACTCTCAAGATCACCCTTTCTCTCAAGCCATTTTGAATAAGCGTCTGAAAGACAATTTTCTGTTGATTACATGGACAACACAGAGAACAAAATAATCAGCAGCAATGATAATGTAACTAGTGGACAACCTGATGAGTTTCAGTCAAACCGAGTTCCCATGGACCTCCAGCATGTTTAATTGAGCTTATAGGGCTTGCTCCCGTTCCTCCATCATGTCCTGAAATCTGCCTTGTCAAGAAAATAAAAAAGCTTATTTTTTCGAATAAATTGACAATAACTAGTTTACTTAATTAAATTTTTATATCAAGGTTTTAAATCTTGACCAAATACTGATTTCAGGAATTTTTCAGACTCGTATGATTCCAGTGTACTGGGTGGTATACCAACCCATACTTCCCTGTACTAGTAAATATAAAAAAAAAGGCCAGTATTGGATCAAGTGGTCCAATACCAATCCTTTGTCGGATGGAAACAAATTAGATGGTACATCCCGTATTGACCAGTATGTGACACCTTGGTTTGTAAAGAGTGTACCTATTGCATGAGACTACTGTTCTGGGAACATCTTAGTTTATACTTTATGCTAACCAATATATATATAATGTGAAAACATGTGATTTAGAGAGAAGGATGGATCACAGTCTCAAACCTTTATCTACACATTAACTTGTTGAAATAAGCATTTAATACAACATCCATTCCCTAGTATCTTGAGGCAGTACTTTGTCAAACTAATATGACATCACGAGTTAAATGTGAAAAGGGATATTTGACTGCATCCACTGGTACTTAGTTTTAACTTATGAATATGATAACATGCCACAGCACAGCATGCATGAAAGACATGAGCAACACAGCTGAGCCTTCTTTGGTCTACTATAAAGTCAGCATTAATGACAAAATGAAACTAAAAAACATAGTTCTGTAAATAAAAAATCTGGCATTCGAAAAAAAATTCACAAAATTACTAAAATTTGAGACATTTGAAAAATATTTTGATTTATGTTGGCTTCTGACTATTTCATTCTTGATTTTGTCTCAGAAGTTTCCTAAATCTTATGCAAAGATGGACTTGAAAAGTTAATTGGGTAAATGAACAATAGAGACAGTAAAGGAAACAATGATATAAAGGTAGAATAACATATCAAATTCTACAATGCAGGGAGATGGGCGCTTTTGCTGTCACATGTAGGACATCAGAAATTAAGGAAACATGTTCCCAACTTAGCATCACACTGCATGCAATTCTGTTGACCTAAATGAACCACAAGATGGGATAACAATGCTGCCATGTGCAACATATCCTCTTCTGCAGCCCAATTGCATTGCATAATGTAGGTCCTAGCACCACCAAATTGTAGAATAGGGTACTGTCAATGTTATAATGTTTTACTAAAAAAGTAACAATTTGGCCATATTTACTGTTCCTGCAAAAGACAAGATGCAAAATACCCATCTTTTTCAGATTTGCATAGAGAATCCAGTTTATCTTAAAAACTGTACAGTGAACCTTCAAGCCTCAATCGCTCCTGAAAACTAAAGGCAAGGGAAAGGTGTATGAATAAGAAATTTTGCTTTGATAAAACCCTTGCAGCATCATATTTTCCTTTTTTTATATTCCTATTCAGTTAGCACATGGCTATAAGAGCGCATGGCTCAGCTAAAACCATTCAGTGGCTGATCAACATTTGCAGTACTGTTGGAACTTAAATCCTTGGGTACTGATGCTTTAATATTCATTTTCTTAAACCTAATTTGTTTTTTTGAATTGATTGGTATACAGGTATAGTGCGTAATAATCAGGGATGATCTCAATAGCATTTAACAAAACTGAACAACCTCTATTGAAGGGTCTCTTGAAACCTCAAAACCTTATTCGACCAAGCAAAGCCCATATCACAGCAGCTCACTAACCCAAATCCCAGTCCAACTAGAACTAGAATTAGAGCAGCCCTCACCCAAATAGGGGCAGCCACAAGGAGAGGGTGACGCCAATTCCTAATAGGAATAGGACACTCATACGCCAACCCTAAAACAACTCCTAAAGGCACTAGGATTTTCCAAGACCTAAGGCATTAGGTCTCTGTAAGTCCTAACTGCATTAAGACTCCAAGTCCTAACATAGCTAGTACTCCACCCCCTTAGCTATAAAAGGAGAGACCCATCTAAAGCATCCCAAAGTAATCCAAGTCGTGCCTCCTCTCAAGAAACCAGCCAACCCTAAGCTAAGAAGAGAGGAGAGAAGAAGAAAAGGAGAAGAGGAGGATAGCAACAACACCCTTCTTCCTTCTATCTAGCATTCTAGCCGGCCTAGAGGCTAGAACAGTTTCCTAGCCAAGAGTAGCAGCAGAAGAAGAAAAGAGGAAGAAAGCCTCAGCAACCCTACACCAGCAACAGCTGAGATCAGCAGGCCAGGAGTCTTCTTCTTTCAGCTTGCGACAGAATTCCACAACAGAGAATCGTTGCAAAATAACTTCACCTTCATCCTCGATGTCCAAAGACGAAGCGGCAAACTCGACACATTCAGCCCCTTCCACAGTGTCAAACAGAGGTGTTATTGGATTGGTGAGAGGAGGGAAGAAAGAAAGAACCATCAACAACCTACGCTATGCCGAGAGCGATCTATTCGCACTTGTCGCATGAGAACTTCCGAACAACAGTCGCTCGAAAACTCTTTGCTTTAGTTCCCTATTTTATACACTTTAAATTCATAGCAAGAGTAGATTAATTCCCCTTTCTAAGTTGTGTTTATTGCAGCAAAAGCGCAACACCTCCGCCAAAACTTTTATTCAAAAGATGGTATCGAGCGTTGGATTGTCAAAACCCGAACCCCATATGGATCAAGTAGCTGAACCAAATGTTTAGAGATAATAGTTCTTTCTCTTAACTATCTTTATGCTCTCGCTGCACATGATAGAAAACCCCCAATGAAGCATAGCTCTAATCACAACCTCAAGCTCAATGTACTCTAGAAGTGTAGCAAACCACTTACTTGATCCCACCAATCACTCACATTTCTTCCCTAGTTCTTTATTTCATTTTCATCACAAACATGCCTACAATGGCATGGTGAATTACTAATTTGTGTCATTTGCACATGCTGCCCTAGCTAATGGTCAGAATGTAGTGTACCATTTGGAAGTCATTCCTATGATCAGAGAACTAAATCAGTTTCCATTTACATATATATTTTTTTATTTCTCACTTCACAAGCCATTGCCAGAAACTTGATGCATTTTTCTGATTATTCCTTTTGTCTCAATGTAATTTTATTTGCAATAGTGTGTCATAAAGCAATGCAAGAACAAATACTAAAAAATGTTGTTCCTGCCAATGTAACTTACAAGACACTTTACGAATGAATATAACATGGGCAGATCTGACAAATAATTGCAGCTACTCTAATGTTTTAAAATTTCCCATACTTCAACATTTGTTGTCCTAAAGAAATAATTTGGGAGTTCAGACCCAGCCAACTCAGACACGTCATGGGTTCTTCCTACACTGAACTGAACATTCATAAGTGTGAGCCCAGTGAATAAGGCTCCCACCAATATGGAGTCTGGGGAGAGTGAATGTTCTCAATGAACTGAGAACAATTAAAGCTTAAATTTGTGAAGATATAAACAAAATTTATATGTCACCTAACCACAGAGACCCACAATATGATTTCAGCAGTCAAAAACTTCCAACACTGGTATCATCATCCACAAAAGTTGCACTACATATAGGATAAACATCCATATGTTTGTGGGAAAGACAGGAAAGATGGAAAAAGCCTCATAGTAAGAATTTCATAACTAAAAAGCAATTTAAACTGTTAAATATAACTAGAGAAGTCAATAATTTTAAAGCCAACAGTGAGATGAATGCCAAACACCTGTATAATATCAGCATTGCCTTTGGCTACACCAGAGGCTACAGTGCCAATTCCAGCTTCTGCCACAAGTTTTACAGATACCTTGGCCTTAGGATTGACCTGCTCACATGCACAGATTTGCAGAGTCTTAAATCATATAAAAAATTTGAAGATACTATATGATCATTTGTCCCCCTTTATATAAAAAGGGATAGTAATGCAACAGTTACAAATGAAGTTTCCTCAAGAAAAACCACAGTAATTTGAGAAAACTGTATGTTTACCTGATGAAGATCATAAATTAACTGAGCAAGATCCTCAATCGAATAAATGTCATGATGTGGAGGTGGAGATATAAGTGGAACCCCAGGCTTAGAGTTTCTTAACCGAGCAATATAAGCACTAACTTTCTTCCCAGGCAGCTGGCCTCCCTCACCAGGTTTTGCACCTTGTGCAATTTTAATTTCCAGCTGATCAGCATTAACTAAAAATGTAGGAGTGACACCAAATCGTCCTGAAGCAACCTGAAATGGTTCACATATCTAGTCAATTTGATCCACAAAGATATTTCCCATTTCATCAATAAATAAAAGGTTATAAGCAATTAAACATCATATCATAAGCACTGCAACATATTGGTTGAAAGTTAAACATCCATAAATATAATGCACATATACATGTAATTTCAGTTTAATCCATCTGTTACATCTACAGAAACACAAAGATTACTACAGATTATGCAAAAAAAAAAAAAAAACACTCTGCTGAGAAGCAAAATTCAAATGCCGCAATATTGCCAGCTTAAAAAAATCAAGTTCCCACTGTATATATGATCTAGCTAGACTCCACAAAGAATTTATTGATATCTTTACCTGTTTAATTGCACTTGTGGCGGTATCCCCGTTTTGAAGACCCTTCAGATGAGGAAGCGTTGGAGAATACCCATCAACAACATCAGTAAGAGGACTCCAACGAACTGGATCCTGGAAATTATTTGTACTTTTAAGTTTTAACTATGAAAGTTTCATTGAAACTAATAAGAAATCCAATTGGACCACGTTTCTTCACAATAAACTGACCTCGCCCCCTTCTCCAGAGTTTGACTTTCCTCCTAATCTGTTCATTGCAATTGCAATTGCTTCATGTGTTTCTCTTGAAATAGCTCCAAGAGACATTCCACCAGTGCAGAAGCGCTGGACAATGGAGACTGCAGATTCAACTTTGCCAATTGGAATTGGTGCCCTACCACTCTTAAGCTCCAGAAGATCACGGAGAACCTGAAAAAGATATTATTGATAAAAATAGTATAGATCAGAAACTTCAAACAAAAACTCATAGATGTGCTGAAGTTGACAAAACATATATCAAATAAATGAAAAAGAGTGGTCAAACTGAAACTCACATTCACAGGTCGATTTGCAAGGTGCTGCTGGTAAATAGAATATGCATTTTCACTTTTTTGACGAACTGCTTTATGTAGAAGTTTGGACATTTCTGGATTGTTTCCATGATATTCGCCTAAAAGACCAAAAATACAGAACAATGCATCAGCAATTACACTCCTTACATTGATTGCTATGGTAAAATTATATGAGCAAAATAAAAGTGGTAGAAGTCACATTGTTTCTTAAGAAAAAATTAAACACACTGCATTAACTTGAGATAACTATGAATGGCCTATATCCTCGTAGCCACAATCAATGGATAAGTACATGGGAATGCAAAAAAAAAATGAAAAGACAGCATTCGACTAGAGAGACCTAGTAGCTTAAACATGTCAAACAGAAGAAAGGTACCCAGGCAAAGGTTAAACAAATCCAGGAATGGGCTCATATTTTGGCCTAAAGGCCATGTCAGGCCAGACTGGTATTGTGATTAAGCACACATAGTGACAGGTTTCTAATCCAACAGATAGATCTAAGTTCATCCTCAAAAAATTAAAAGAAAGGATGCAGAAGGCATGCTAAGTGGTGACCAGAAAATCGGAAGGTTTGCAGGTGTGTGCCAATACACCATACATATGAAGACAGAATAATGCAAGACAGTGCCTCAATTCTGGTTTTGCACAAATGATGGCAATGACAACAAGCTGTTTGTCTCATCCATTTAGGATGATTCATAGTTTACAAGCATATTACATATTTTGAAACCATACAGTAAAAAATTAATGGTACCTCCAGGTCTGAATTGAATAAATCCAAAATTCTCTAGCCTCTTGGCTGTATCCTCCGAGAATGCCTTGACCCAGAAGGACAATGTTTCTCTTGCCAACTTTGTAAAGGAAAAGAACTTCCATAAGAAGCAGAATGAGAATACAACAATAGTCTATTACAAAGAAATAAACCAGACAAACAAAACAACATTTACAACAAAAAAACAACATCTACAACAAAAATGTTGTCATAATCATTACTTACATTTTAGTACCTGAGGATGATACTCATAACATATCTGTATATAGCTAAAGCAAAAAATCTGCCTTGCAATAAAATGACTGAAGTTAATCGCACATGATTCTAATAAATACTCCATGCTTAAACAATTGTTATAAGTGGCAATACCACCAACAACAGCATTTAATCCAGCTATGCACAAGCCACTGAATATAAAGACAACTAAGAATACAAAATTGACTATAAAAACTTTCTAAAATTTACTTGAAATTATCAGAGAAACACAGTTTATACAAGTAACAGAAAAGCAAATGGTTAACCATTAAGTCAACAATAGGTATTTCATATGCAAGGAAGTAGTTATTAATATATGTATCTACCCATAAATACTTTTGCTCCTCCAAGACAAAAAGAAGTTACCACAATCCAAGTTTCATATATTTTAACCATCAAAGGTCAATGTTTCCCAAGGGAACAATTATTTTCCCCTAGCAAAAGAGCATAGCCAAAATAGATCTTCTAAGATTAGAGTTCCACAATATTTATCTGATTAACATTTATATAACAAAAATGAGACCTCAAATGCTTCATTTATAGTACTTTACCTCATCAAGAGTTAGTCCGCCTATCTTTGATACACTCCCACAGAAAGCAATATCCACAATTTCTTGTCCAAGTCCATATATTTCAAATATTTGTGCCCCACAATAACTGATTAAGAAAAAGCAACATTACCAAAGACATTGATTATAAGAGTCATTCTAAATGTGATTTTCCATCTAAACAATGAATTGGCAAATAGAATTGTCATGCAATCTCTTTACAAACCTGGAAAGCAAAGAGATTCCCATCTTTGACAATATTTTGAGAAGACCAGATTTCACAGCCTGAAAAATGTCGTCATCAACAGCCGTTACAGTACAAGAAAAAACAGCAGAAAAATGCACAATGAAAATATTGAATAAACAAAAGAAAAACCAGAAGCAGCAACTGCTCCGATAGCAGGACAGCAGCAGCAGCAAAGAAAAAAAAAGAGGGTACTTAATCCATTACCAATGAACAGTTCTATCGAGGGACACCACCTCCATGTATAACCATAAGGGTGTTCATGCTAAAATCTAATCTATAAGAATAAACAAAAAATTACTCAATAATTATTCTCATTTGGAAAGCTTAACTTCAAGGTTCAAAATTTCAATCCTTGATACTAGGGACAACAAGAAAAGATTTATAACAACATAAGCATCCCAAGACACTACATTGGCAGTCTTAAGAACTGAGCTCCCCATTTTATGATCATATGAGCAGATTTAACATCTTTCAAATGGCCTACAGTTTCCTAAGTCTATTATCTCTTCATATTAATTTCAAAATTACTCAGTATCTTCCTAGTTGCATCAGAAGTCCATTTTTACTACCAGATCTACAAACACAACTAGAATAGAAAAATCAACATTTATAATAAGACTGTGGCAATGGAAGCTGTACTGCAGCCTATAGAACTGGGTGTAATAATTATCCTGGAAAATCTAATAATTTCAGCTGTCAGAGAAGCATATACCTTGCAGAAGTTCCTCTGAGCTTGCTCTATTGTCACTGTAGGCATCTTTCCAGTCCGCATCAAGCTGACAGCTTTTGTACTCAGCCTCCACTGGCGACATGTCTCTAGTGCCAAATATGGGCATACCGCACTGAGAAGCACATCAATAATGGTGTTAACTGGTGCTACCATCCATACAAAAACAGCTGTGTTTTTTGAGAGCATGTTTTTTGAGACGAAGCACAGGTGTGTTATTATCATCAAGATTCTTCTCCACAAAGTGGGTTCAGCTATGGAGTACAAGAAGTTCAGCAAAAAATTTGGTGCAAGTATAGAGCATCTTGGAAAGATATATTACTTGTAGAAAATGAGACTTGATCTAGATAACCATTCAAGTAAAATCTACATAGTTCTTGTGTTCTAAACAGGTAAAATTATTGAATGAGATTGTTAACAACAGGTTTATATATTTAAACCAAAGACATTCACAGATTTTTACTTGAAAATATCAAAATGAATATAAAGAATGCAGGGAAAATCAGAAGGAAACACATTTAGTCAAGTTTCAAGCATCCAAGTGCAGTGAAATTCTGATGAAAATAGTAGTACTCAAAAAAATATAAGGACTGGTAATTTGACCAAAGAGTATAAAAAATTATGTTAGCAAGAATTACAACTGAGCCTCCTTTCTAGCTGTGACTGCTCTCTTATTATTCACACACTGACACCATAGTCTAACTAGGGCTCTTAGATCTGATCTAAAATAAACCATCTCTAGATTTATTTCTGTTATCATAAAGAATATGATGACAATCCTCCCAAGATGCGAAAAAAATACAAAAAATAGGAATCCCAAACAATACAATTACTATTTAATTCTTAAATTATAAACCACATTTCACAAGATCGATATTGGTATCAAAATCAACCAGGGATAATCAGACCACGATTGAGAGGATTTAAAAGATTGGAATTGGTTGAGAAAACAATTTAAAATTTTAAAATATGAGAAAGTATGCTAAAAAATAATCTTATCTCAGACTTCATATATTCCATACAAGTATCTAACTTTGAAGACATGTTTGATCAATGGCCTTGGCCTGGATTGGCTAGGTCGAAACAAGGTATGGATCCATATCAACCAATATCAAGACATGATCAATATGTACTCCTCCTGCCTCCATCTGTACCAATTGGCATGGCAATTTATTTCAGACACAAGTACAGTTCAGCACTGGTTGCATTGGACCAGTACATACAGCTAGACAATCCATGTGGTGAAGCGAATACAGGATCTGACATTATAATAGAAGACATTCCAGGTCTCTAATCCTTCCCACCTCATCCGTCAACTAATATGAACGAATGATGCATGCTTTCCCATTATCAGAAAAAGAAAATAAATGACTTGAACAGAATGAAATAGAACAATGTAGAAATTATATTAGATTGAATAATGAAAAGAATGCAGCAATTATAATATGACACCTAGAAAAATTATACCTTGCTCCATATCCAATCAAACATGCAAAGTGATGGGTGCTGAAACATTGAGCAGTATCAGCAACAATGGAAGCTGACATCCGCAATCCATTTTGAATCAAATGCTGGTGGACAGCACCAACAGCTAAAAGTACAGGGATAGCAGGACGAGTTGGCTCCTGACAAAAAACAATGAAGAAAAAGGACTGATTAACAATGGGGACAGATCAGTTACAAACTCAGTAATCTACATCAGCAAAAGCTTCATTTAACATGGTGCTTCTGGCCAAGTAAGAAAATAAACAATTTACACAAGAAAATGTATAAAAAGAAATGACAATATTTATGGATTTCCATGTGAAACACAGCAGAAATTTACATATAGAAATAAACTAAACATAGAATAGATAAATGAGGCTATCTATCATGATATTGATTATTATCCAAAATCTATCTGTAAAGCAAAATAGAATAGGGTGCAACAGAGAGAGACCTTTAGCCTGAATAGTGAAAAGTTTTAAGCTTTGGAGATAAACCAACAAATATTGATATAGAATGTGCTTATAAATCAAGATTATTAAATTAATTGAATCCTCATTTTAATACAAATATCACAATTGATATACCATGACATTGGTGTTTAGGTTATGCTAGCAAAATTGCAAATTAAACTAGAAAAGGCCTTGCTTAAGGCTTGCCTATAACTGAGTTCATAAAGAACAAAACATGTGACGCGTGCCAAATGGTCATGAAAGTCAAAAGTTCATTTAAACTTAAGAAATTATTTAGCACCAATAGGTCATTACAATTTACAACTAATCCGTACGAATTTTTTAGGCTGTAAGTTACTGGTCATGTAGGTAGGAAATATACATTTGATTTAATTGAGGACTATAATATATATTGGCTACCCTTATCACATAAATACAGATAGTACGAAATTAAAAAAACAAATGATTTCAGAGCAGCAACCATGGTATGATAATCACATTGTTAAAAACTTTGTAACAGAAATGATTATTTTTTTTTTTATTTTTGACTTCCATAATGAAAAGCATTATATTTGTAAATTTTCTACCAATTGAAATCCACAACAAACATCACATTTTGCAAAGACAATATAGATACCTACAAGAGTGGTCAACATCAAGCTTAATGAACACACCTTACCTAAATATCTTTTGGCAAAAGCTTATCTATGACAAGCACACTATGTTATGAAAAGGGATCTAACTCGACTCAATCTGTTAAGGACGCAATATGAACCTTTAGAATAGCAAAAAGTCAAATACTTGTTCTAATTTGAACAAACATTTTATTCTTAACAAAAAGAAAAAGAAATTCTTCTTGAATAATCTACAACATTTTAAAAATACAGAGTTTGTAACAAAAATTCTCAAATGTTCTTCATGAATAAAAATGAGTTGCAAGATATTGGTACAATTAATCCTTGTGCCACGAAATTTCCAAGCACAGGAATATCGAGTTCAAAATAAGCATGAAGTTCGTTGTACAACTTGATCTATAAATTAACCAAAGTACACAAGGAGCATCTCAAATAGTTTGGGATTGAGAAATTGACGCAGGTTGGAACTGCAGTGAACACAGCAAATAAACTAGATAAGAACAAATTGGGCAAGTGGTTAGAAGTATTACATTGTAAGTGGGCAGGATACAAGCATCCTACTAACTTGCATAATTTGATATGCAAAGGGCTCAAGGAACAACATTTAGACATCCATGCAATTAAATTGGATCTGTAACATATTTGTTTGTGGGTGAGTGACCATTAATGTCTGAGCACTGCCAACGGCATTTAAATGAATCGCCCAATAACTTATGTGGCCCAATTTTTAGAAAAGATTTTTTTAAAAAATAGCAAGTCGTTCATATTTTCTTAAATCTAAACATAGTGAATCACAGTGATTTAAAAAGCGCTAGGCATCAAAAGAGGCCAAGCTTCCAAAACACCCGAGGCCCTAGGCGCTCGCTTGAGCGAAGCGAGTCACTAAAATATAAAAAATATATAATATAATTAATAAATATAATTATTTAAATAAAAATATGATATTAAATTAAAAAAAATCCTAAGTATAATGTCACTATGTCACATTAACAAAAGTCTCAAAATTCAAAACAATAAATAAAATTAGTAGTATTAAAATCAAAATAATATATTATTAATCTAATAAATAAAATATTGTTAATAGTATACTGTTAGTATACTGTTAAGAATATACTGTTAATAGTATACTGAGTCGAGTGTGAGAAGAGAAGAGACTGAGGCTGCTGACTGAGAGCAGCGACAGCGACGAGCAGCAACAGTGGCAACAGCAACGGAGAGCAACGACAACAAAGAGTAGCGATAACGGTAGCGGAGAGAGGCAGCGACAGCGATAGCAAAAAGAAAATGTCGGTGGCGGGAGTCGGTTAGGGTTGGGGAAGTCACGAGAGGCAACGAAGAGAGGCTGGTATTGGTGCTTTAGTTGGTTCGATTGAACCAACTAATGCAAATTCGACCGAACCAGACCTAACACGCTGGTTCGATCGCCTGATTTAACCCTAGCGCTCGCCCGAAGCGCCTAACGCCTGGGCTCCGGCAAGCGCCTCTTTGAAACGCACCGCCTGGATAGTAAACAAGGCACTCAGGCCTCATCTCGCCCGAGAGCCTAGGTGAGCACCCGAGTACCTTTTGAAATCACTGGTGAATCGCATAACAATTTACAACCAAAAGAAACTAAAGTTGCATCAATAAAGAAAGTCATTTTACGTTACTTCAATGAACTAAAATTAACTTAAAAACCCAAATTAGTCTTTCAAATATATTTTTTGCCTCAACAGTTTGGACCTAGAGAAGATGTTACTAGTAAGCCTACAACCCAATGGCTAATAGAAAGAACTGGTTTTGGTGTGACCATGGACCATGTGACTGATAGAAATGAATAGAAAGTGATTTAACCAAAGAAAACTTGTTCCAATCAAGTATCTTGCATTGGCCATTAATTCATAGGCTAAATATGTTGAAATACATGTTTTAGGTAACTAGCAATGTTTTTAATAGCCACTCAGGCACTCAAGCGAGGCGAGGCGAGGCGAGGCCCGAGCACCTCACACAATGTTTGAGCAATATGTTTCAGTGAAGCACTCACCTGAGATACGACGTTGGGTGCCTCGGGTGAGTGCCCAAGTGAATGCCAACAAATCGAACAAAATGTGAACTCTGGTTCGATTGAACAGTAACTTGGTTCAATTGAACTAATTAAACCTAACACGAAACCCCAATACCCCCTCCCCCAGCACTCGCGACCTAATGAAACCCTGGACTCCACATTACCGCCCAACCCACCTTTGGTCCGTCACTGCTGCCTTCGTGCATAGCTCCCTCAGCAACTGATGGACAGGCCCAAAGCTTCCTCCATCGTAGCTACTTCCGTGTGCAGTTCCCTTTGCCGCTATTGCTTTCGTGCACAACTCCCTCCACTACCGAGGGAGGGGTCCGTAGCTTCCTCTACAGCCAACGGACACATTCGTAGCTTCCTCCACCCTCAACGCCACAGTCTACAACTTCCTCCGCCACCACTACCATCGTCCAAAGCTTCGTATGTCATTATCGCCCTCTCCTTCCCCACCTCTTTTAGCATTTTTGTTATTAGAATATGGACAATGTAATTTGATACTTTATATGATTTCAATTTAATGTCACATTTTTATTTTTATAATTATATTTATCAACCATAATATATATTATTATATTTTAATATTCTAAAGCACCTTACTTCCGGGAAAGCGCCTAGAGCCTTGGACGTTTTGGAACCTTAGCGCCTAGTGCTTTTAAAAATAATAGTACCTAAGCATTTACACGATGACATATGACAACATTACTACTAATAATATCAATAATTATAAGTTACACCACAATTTGTAACCCCTGAACTGAATCAACCTTTAAACTAAGACTAAACCTATAACACACAATATTGAAGAGCACTTAACAAAATGTGAAATAAAAAAATTAAAAATGAAGAGAAAAAAGAGTATAGTACTCCCTGAAACGATCATGCCTAGGTTAGGGCTCAATTAAGCACCACCTAGGTGGCCATCTTTAACAACATTAACAAAGAAGATACAAATTTCCAAATGCCCACTCATCATGACATGAATATATTCTCAGAAGGGATTTTAAAAAAATTAATCTACTAATATGCATGCTAAGAATTTAGTATATATATAGGGCAATACACAATGATAAAATATTTGATATTTCAAACCTGAAGTTATTAAAGACCGAATGCAGACTATGGCACTAAATACTCACTATCAAGTTGCAAAACTAAAGGCATACTTTTAGCTTTTCAGGAAACTGTTACATATTCACTAAATTAAATTAAATAAAAAATTAAGTTTGTGCAATTTTTTAGACAGCAATAAGTATCATTAAACAAACACGTAGAATTACAAAATTTAGCTAAGACAGCAGATATGTACAATGAACGTTTACCAGATCCTCAGAACGATCAGAAAGAACAAGTAGTTGGCAACCATCCCGTACAGCTTCATCAGCTGCTTCACAAAGCCTTTGCAGTGCTTTCTCCAATGAGCCATCTAAGCCTTTCCGGATATCAAAATATGTAGACAAGATTTGCGCTTGTAAGTTTGGATCCTTCATCAGTGACTCGAGCTCCCCTTCATTCAGCACTGGACTTGACAGAATAACCTGGCAAAAGAAGAGGCATTAAGAACATCAATGCAATACACAATACACAGTTTGAAAAGGACGAATTGAAAATACAGACCTGAGAAGCATTCTCAGGTCCAACTTCTAAAATGTTTCTACGCTTTCCAATATTAACCTCCAGAGACATCACTAAACCCTCCCTGAGGGGATCAATCGCAGGATTCGTGACCTGTAGCAATGACGATGATCAGGATAATGAAATAAAGAACATCAAATAAAGACAATGGTAGCTGGTAAATATAACTGCTAGTACATCATCTAATTATTAATAGATTGCAGCTAGCTTTCCAAGAGACATATAAAGGAAGTTATGTATATCTATAGGTTTCCTTCTCATTGAGATAGATCATTAATACAATGATTGTAGAAAAATAAATAATAAAAAATTAGCCACCAGCTGAAATAAAACCATAATGTAAATTTCAAGCATGAAGCAGAAAAAAGACAGGTCCCATTCATCCGATTGAACATTTGTCAGAGTACAAAACTACATAGTCTAATTCGATGGTAAAGTAGTGAACTTTAAATATTGACATATACAAGAAATGATAATAACACTAAGAATTCTAGACAAATAGATTTTAACAGTTTTAGCTAGTCTTCAATTTCTTCTTTGATAGCACTTTCTTTAAGTCTATATACAGAATTTAGTTATGTTTATGCAGGTCAGTTTGCAAAGGTAACTAGTATGGGCATCAGATATCTCCAAGATTCAGGTATATGTAGAAGAAAGCAACTCTGAAGGAATTAGAATCCTCACACATCCAAACATATACATGGCAAGATCTGATTGAGCATGGCAATTAACTAAGATGAAACTGATCCAGAGTCCATCAAAAAGTTTTACTAATTCAACAAGGAATTCCCTGCCCTAAAGTAGATCAGATTCAGGAATTAAAACTTTCTAGTTCTTTGTGGGGAAGGGAAATCATAGGTAAGATGAGAACATCTCTACTGTGCAAAGAACAAAGTTATCCAAAGACTAGATTCAGCAACATTTTTTAAGGACATATATAATGAATATAAAGCATAAATCATATGCACAGAATATGGAAAAAGTTCAAAAAACATTTTCAGGATGGTACAATCTTAAAACTACACCAACCTGAGCAAAACGCTGCTTGAAATAGTCATAAAGCATATGCGGCTTCCGCGAAATTACTGCCAATGGAATGTCATCACCCATGCAAAATGTTGGCTCCTTCCCTTGTGAGGCCATCGTTTCAATGACCATTTGGACATCTTCACTTGAGTAGCCAAATGCCCTGATCCAAACAGAATAGATATAAGCACGAGAGTCATGTTTTGTTCAGTAAAATAGATCGGTAAAAAAATTATCTTGCTAAAAGGGCAAGAACTAGCAAGAACTAATGGGCTTTCTTACTGGTAGGACTCGTCCAAATTTTGTTATAAGACTAGTATTCCCTAATTACGGAAATAGAGCTTCTTTTTAAAAAAAAAAATAAATAGTAAACATGATATCTTACACCAACTGACCAACATCCAAGTTAAATTGAATTCATGATAGAATTGAAACAGACGTTCATGCTTTAACATCTATAAGCATAGAAAACCAGTTCTACAAGAATGACAACCTAATGTGGATGGAAACAGGGTTTGTTGTACCGATGCATACCGCTCGATACGGGTGGTTCGTACCAATCCAACAGTATTTCGATACGCGGACCGCCTTCTACCAGGCGATACCGATCACTTGACCCTGTATCAAGCGAGCGATACGGGATTTCTACCAGGCGATAATGGTCGAAATCCAACCATTACCGACCTATACCGATCAGTAATGGTCAAATTTCAGCCGTTATCAATCAAGGGTTGAGATTGCCCTATTTCAAACGATCAATTTGACCATTTGAGGCTTAAAAAAGGGTTTTTAAACCCTTTCCTCCCCCCTCTTTCAACTCATTTCACTCTCTCAATCTCTTAAACTCTCTCAAACTCTTTTTCACTTATATCTCTCTCTTATTCTCACATTTTCACTCTCCTAAACTTAACAAAGCTACAATTTATGAATTGAATCAAATTTAGGAGGATAATTTGAGAGGATTAAGAGGAAGAACACTCTAATCAAGAGGTATACTTTCTTTCTCGATTTTTATTGATTTATGAGATGATTAAGTCTATTCTATGTGGTGTGTGACTTAATGTCTAATATGTTGTTTGATATATTTTTTATAGTAGAATAGTGCTAATTAAGGAGTAATTAAAGTTTTTCACGTTATGATTAGTGTATTTGATATTGATTTTTTTGAAATTAGACACTTAATAGATCAAATCTTTATATTTCATGCATATAGGATTGGATCATATGTTTGTATGGTAAAAGGCTTAATTAAGTTTTAATTAAGTTTTTTTAATGCTGTGATTAGTGATTTTAATGATGATTTAATCAAAATTTGATCGATATTAGGTCAATTTACATTATTTTTGCTAAAATTATACTAAATTTATATTTATTTCTAAATTAAAAACCCTTATCTAACTTTTTTTCTATTTTTGAAGGTTTTTTTATGATTTTGGATGTATCATTAGTATGCCTCGATACATACTGTACCGAGCATAACTCGATACACTGGTACGAACCAAAATTGCACTCCTTGGATTGAAATATAAAAAATAATGCTGTTGAAAGCAAAACAAAAGCAGCACTGTTGGACAGCTACCTGCAAAACTAATTTACAGAAATGCAAGCGATCGTGGCATGATAATCCATATAATGTGTATTCTGTACGTTAATGTACAGGAAAGAAACATCTGAATGTACATGATGCTTGCCTGACAATAATGTTGCTAAGATACTCTCTTTAGCTCTATAATATATGACCAGGTTACATATAACAACCTGAAAAATTGCATCAAAAGGCTGACACATCACATTACAAATTCAAACAAAAACTTAACCCGCTCCACCTACCCCATGTCAAACTTTAAACTAAACATTGAAAAATATCACTCAGCACAATCATAAACATTACAGTATAATATATGACTTAATTTGACAGCAACTGATCCAACTAATAAGGCTTCTTGCAGCGAGATTAATCAGAATTATATCTTGATTTTGGATCAATTTGCAGCCTAAAATGCATCATCTAACCAAATACAGTAAATGCCAATCAGTCTAAACCAAGGTTCGCAATACCGTACCGTACCGGTATTTCGACCTGGGCTCGGTACCGGTATGGTACGGTATACCGAGCGGTACACCCAGGTGTACCGAGTACTGTAGCACTGCTACAGTGATACAGTAAACTGCTACAGTGCTACATTATCTCGGAACGATAACAGTCGGTCCGCGTTACGAAAACCTGTCGGACTGGTACGTACCGCCCGTACCGGGCGGTACGGCTCGGTACGACAGACCCTGGTCTAAACAATCAAAATATACTGCTAAATACAAACATAAATATTATTATTGTATAATATGATTTAACTTGATGCCAACTTATCCAACTAAATGGGGCTTCACCTAGCCATATCATTCAGAATTGTACCTGGCGTTTGAGTCAATTTGCAGTCCAAGCATGCATCCGTCTAACCAAATCCCCACAAACTATCACCAGTTCACTATTTTACATGAGTCTTTTATATATGAATATCGTTAGCTTAGGAATGTCCAAAAAGTGATTCAAGGGAGTGGGACGAAGATAGGGCAAGGATCCAAATATTAAACTGTCTTGACCAGTATTTGCCAGTCTAACCGTATATTGATGAGCAATACACCAAGTTATCAACCGTATGGAATTAATTCAATACATGCAGCTCATATATTATTTTTTTAGCAGACTGGTCTCACAGCAAACCTGAATTTAGTGGTCCTTTACTTAAGTCCTTGGAAACAGGTTTCAGTTCTACAGAAGAAGTAATAACTGAGAAAAATTAGTTAATACTTAATAACATTCAACTTTTCTCATAAAGAGCATAATAGTTAAATAATTCAACATTTACAATTTACACGAGGCAAGCCAATGGGATACATTGAAAAAAATAATCTAAACTGAAACAGATAAAATTCAATGGAGGAGTTGCTCAAGTCACTATACCAAGACCAAGCAGATAATACTGAAGACTTATCAGCAATCTAAAATTAACAAGAAGAATTCACAGCTTCACATGTTACAAAAACAAACAAAAAAGCAAGATTGGTAACAATGGAAATATAGAAAGGGGTTTTCACTTATTGTAGACCACAAACTATTAACACTTGAGATCCATAATTAAAAATCACACAATGTACTGCAATACATGATGATGATGGGTAACAGTAGAATACTTGTAAAATGATCCCATCAAAATTGTGTAAACTGTCCAAAATAAATAATCCATTTTATATTAATCTGCTTATGCTATGTCAGATCAAGAGAGTGAAGAAAATGAAGATCCACGCAAACACTTTACAGATGATTGAATGCATTGCAAAACAGAACGCTAAAGTGTAATCAACCCTTACTGCTGGTGTCTTAAGGTTGTTTCATTATCCATCACAACAGATGAGAGGAAGTTTCCAGGTTTCATATTGCGCATGTTTTCACGCAACCAATTGCCATATGGATATGCTGAAGCAACACTCTTCTTAACATCAGTATTTTCATAAACCTACAAAAAATAGACAATAAACATACAAATAAAAATAACAGAACATTTAGAGCTGAAACAACTCATATACAAGAAGCAGATAAAAATTACTCAACCATCCTTTTCAACTCACAATCAGATAAAAGAAAAGATTGAAAATGCGGCACAGACAAACATAATGATAGAGTAATTCTTAGTACTTATTTATTAGCAATAAACAATAATATGATAACAACACTGAACACTCTTGATAGTTCATAAATTGATGTCCATCTATTTGTAAAATTTGTTTCAGTTTAAAATATTAAGCATGCTATTTGATAGCAAAAATCAATTTCCTTAATGGGCCACTTCAAACCAATACCTGTTGAACAATTAACATTGATTCAATTGAGTAGGACTAGATTTCGCTGAGTTGATTAACAAACCTCCTTCTTTCTGTTCTCTTTTTTTTTTTTCCTTTGTTTTGGGAGAAGAGAGGATTTTGGCTTACAACAGTTTACAGTCTATTTGGAGCTTACCTGATCCATCACTGTATAACTACCCATTTTTAGTATCAATTAAGTATCACCTGATCGTCTCAAAGTTGATGTTGCAGGACTCTAGCTGATTCTATTATATCCTATGCAAACCACCACCAATCCTGACCAATACCAATTCCTACTGATCTCAGTCTAATTCTATCTAAATCACAGTTGATTCCTGCTAATTCAACCTAATCTTGGCTGACCACTAATTTCTTGCTGCTCTCAAATTGTTCTTGGTTGGCATAAATCGATCAAGAGCAATCTTGACCAATGCAACTACAATGATACAGCAGTAACTCAACATGATCAAATACAAATTTAATCCCACATGTCACTCTTTCTTCAAATATGAAGCCAATTGGACTAAATAAATGATAAGATATAATCACTAAATTTAAATTGTATACTTAGAATCAAGGTTCGTCGTACCGTACCGTACCGGCATTTCGACCTGGGCTCGGTATGGTACGGTACCAGTGTACTGGGTGGTACATCAGGGCATACCGAGCGGTACACCCTGTTGTACAAAACAATTTTATACTTTTTCATACTGTAGAAGTGCTACAGTATAGTACTGTATCACTGTAGCGGTACCGAGCGATCCGTGTACCGACAACCTGTCGGACCGATACATACCGCCCGATACGGGCGGTACACTTCAGTATGGCAGACCTCACTTAGAATACAGAAATCAAATAAATAATTATCAATGCTACAACGGGAAAGGCATAATTACCTGACCACTCTGTAGATCAACAGTTATCATCATTCCTGGACCTAATCGACCCTTCATTATAATCTTTGATTCGTCCATTGGCAGAACACCAACCTACAAACAAGTATTAACAACAAACAAAACAAATGGGTCAGGAAGCCTCAAAAAACAATAAATTCAACAAGCACTTGTCCATACTAAGTAGCAAATAAGCGACGAGTGTTTGAAAGCCAACCATAGAAATTACTTCATAGTGTGAAATAGACTCAATCTCTATCAGCACTTTCTGGTATATTTGAAATTTAAGAATGCATGACACAGGACAAATTGGTCTCGATTTGATACATTATCATAAGTGCTGCTTTTATGACTAAATCTGTTTAAAATGTTAATTTTGATGTACCAGTAGAAAATGGAACAGAAGATGGGCCTTGTTGTCATAGTAAGATTGTTCCTCTTAGATCTAGGTGACCAGAGTTTTGAGTTGTGAAAACAGCCTCTCTATTTGTATATTGACCATCCCCTAATCCCACATTGACAAGAGCCTTCTTCACTGACTGCTCGTTTTCTAATAGAAAATGGAGAAATGAAATAACAAGTTCAACAACTTTTCATACAATTTGAAGTTTAGACAATATTCTCATATTATCCAGCAAAGAAATACTCCAGCTGGCTCTTATGCTCTCACTTGGCATATGGTACTAAACATTTATAGATAGATCTACAATTTATAGACATGCATCTAGCATTTCTACATGAGGTCCGTGAAACTGAAGACGTATAATAATCAACAGAACGCCCTCAGAAAACTGATGCCAAGCTCCTTTAACCAGAAAACTGATGACTAATGCAATACTAAAGTACAAAACACTAGGACCATGGAACATTGTAATCCTCAGCTATATGTGATGATGTCTACAAGTGTAAATGTTCATTAAGTGACAGATTAATGAAGAAATTATGTACAAAAAATTAGCAAATAAACTTGCTCTTCCAATATACCTTCATCATGGACTATACACTTTAGTGACAATGCATGGATATTCACCAATAATTACAGACATCAATCATGGACCAATGTCCATATGAAAAGTTGCCAAAAAAACCTACCAAGCATCTAAGATGTCTTCTCAATCAATGCCAGAAGTAGAAACGTTGGTCGCTCAATTTATGGCTGCATGCAGACTTGACGAATCTAGTAGGTTAGGTGAGTCTATTTGGTGACATGGTTTGTCACCCATCATCCACCATCATAAAAAAACCTACCAAGCATCTAAGATGTCTTCTCAATCAATGCCAGAAGTAGAAACGTTGGTCGCTCAATTTATGGCTGCATGCAGACTTGACGAATCTAGTAGGTTAGGTGAGTCTATTTGGTGACATGGTTTGTCACCCATCATCCACCATCATAAAGACAACAACTAGATCTAGTATTCATAGCTTAAAAGACAGAAAACAGCAAGAAAGCAATATTGAAATAAGTGTTTACTCGACTATCTTAACAAATATTATATAAATTGCATCTACATAATCCAAATTATTTGTTTAGTACTTTAGCTACACCCCAAAAGATACAGTTGACCAAATGGTTGAACAGTTAACTAACAAACAACTTACCTTGCCTAAAAGTATAATAAGATGCATTTGCCAAGCAAAATAAATACTGCTTGTCCATATAAGCAATAAGAAATTAGCAATAGAGAACAATTTAAAATTATGACTAACATGAAAGTTGGTGCCAACTTTTCCTAGGGATAAGGCAATAGAACTGACTTCTTACCTAGAAAACCTAGTTGATCTTAGAAAGAGTTGTTATTGGTAGCAGTTTCAGTTCATGAGATCATGAAGCAACCATGCCAAATTCTGTAGAAATGCAAAGAGTCTAAAGAAAGAGAAAATGACAAGCTCTGCTGTAAAGAACAGTACTCTTCTGGAAGGCATGAATTGACCAACAACATAAAACAATATGTGCAATCTTTATATATAAATTGCTTGAGAATGTAAAACAAATGAAAAAAAAAAGTAGATGGTCATGGTCTCTATCCACCCTAAAAAACTGAACATGTTTAACAAACACAGCATCTAGACCGATAGTAGATGCCAATAGTGAGTAACTGTATCAAAAGATTTGTGATTTAAGACCTACTGACGAGGAAACCACAGTAATTCGCCATCTCCACTCCTAATACTCACAACAACCAAGAAAGACTTTGGGCATCAATTGGCTCAAAATCAAAATTTTAAATGGATATGCTTGACTACGATAACAGATTAAAGCACATTTAGTTATAAGAAAGTAACTACTGTTCTATATTATGAACTTCATCTATTAACAAAATTTAACAAAAGAATATTTATCTTAAGATTATCAACATAAGTAAAAGATTTGTTTCAACTTTCAACCTTGAATAAGAATCACATTATATCTTTTTATTCACTCTATACTGGAAAGGCAACAGACTCAATTACCAAAAGAATGTAAATTTTTTATGTTATACTGTATTTATAAATTTTGTAGGAATGATTTGAAATATTTTTGCTTTCTGATGACTTCCTTTAATTGGACTACGGAGATGAAATGCTTAAGGATTCTAGAAGAATGGCTGTCCATATCAATTTAACTGAAACAATACTACTGTTATATCAAAGTCAATTATGTCCAATGCAACTTCCCTGAAACCAAACAGCTCTCTTAATGAGCAGTTCATAAGTAACAGAATAGACTACACTTAGCACCTTTGGGATTTTTTTTGTATAGATTATTGTATGCTAAAAAAACCAATTTATTACTTTCTTACTATTATACTTAACAGGCAGATTATATTAATGGTCATGAAGAGACATAATTTCAAACAATTTACTGTAAAAGATAATGCCACTTGAAATTATTCTATGGGACAACAAAGACACCACTAGAAACAATTCTGACAATAATTAAATAATAAAACCACATACCTCAAATATTGTTTAGATAATAGCAAAGAATCCATGACTTATTACTTTTAAAATTAGGAAACAGATGGTACCTCAGATGCAACATAGACAATGTCATCGACTGTTCGCCAATATCGAGCAGGACGAAGACCATTTCGATCAAGACAAGCTCCAACCGTTCTTCCATCACTATTTCAGCCAAAATATGTTACTTGTGGCATAAAAGATCATGAGACAAAATTAATTTAGTTGTTGCTTCCTCAAATTCAGATCCTTAATTACATATGACAGTGAAATACATCGACAAAAGTCTGAAGTTAAAAAAATCAGATAATTTTCCCAATCATAGTAAAAAACACTTAACACATTTTGTTCAAAGCAAATTGTTGTTTTAACAGAATGGCATAAGAACACCAGTTATACATATTGAGCAACTATAAATAGAAAATACAAAACACCCTGGTTTAGTCACACATCAAAAATGGATTTATAGAGAACTTAGGCAATTTTTTTCTGGAGTGTGTGTGTGTGGACAGCAATAAGTCGAATCCTACTCTAACTAGGGAGAGGTCTTACAGACCCCTTACTGTTCAAAGTCGAACAAACTTCTGTGTAAGCTAAAATAGGCATCCACACATTTTCCCGAGACACAAGCTATATCTTTGTCATAAAAACTTCAAGCCACCATGTCTAGGGCTACACACAAACAATGCAAACATATAATTTACCATAAAGTTTCTCCAGTACACACTAAAATAAATAACAAAAGGCCACAATCAAAAGCAACAGCATTCAACTATTAAATGCACACAAACAAATAGTTGAAAGGACAAATTTGACCACTAAGCCATGATAGATCCAACAAATGATACCTGAATAAAAGCAAGGCAGGTCCATCCCAAGCTTCCATTTGTCCTTTGTAGTAGTCATAAAAGTCAACAACCTAAAACAAACGAAACTTCACTTTGAAAAAAAATAAAGGATGAAATAAAAGTAGCATACAGAATTATTTTTTGAATAAAAAAGATTGACAATTAAAAATCCACAGAGATGAAAATGCACAAAATACAAACATGAAGACAGAATATTTTCAAGAATGGAGTTTGCATAACAATCACCAAAACCTATAACAACAAGAAAATCCTACCTCTGGATATTTTATCATCAGTGTAGGATGATTCTTATATGCCTCAGGAACAAGAACCATAAGAGCTTCTGCTGGGCTTCGACCACTTCGCAGTAATAACTGGTCACATGAAACAAGAATGATATTAATTTAAACCTATCAAAAATGATCATAAAACAAAAAAAAAACTTGATCAGCCAGAAGACTTGTTATTGCTGCTGTTGGAGTGAGCAGGAAACTCAACTACCAAGACAACATCAGCATGATGCATCAATCAAAAAACAGCAAACAGCGCTTAGGGTTTTTAAGGTCGCAATAGGTTTTAAAGTTAGACCATAATATCAATAATCATAATCCTGCCCAGCACCAAAGAAAGATCTTGAAGATTTGAACTCCACAGGTGCACATCGAGAAGTGGAATTGTTGGAAGCAAGTGATAATCAAGCTTAAGTAACTACATCATGTTTGCCATCGTTTTTTGAACTTTTAAGCACAAAAAGAATTCTTGATGACACTGCTGGGCTGTACGAGACAGCATGGAGCACATATCATACATGCTGCATATGATGTCATAACACTACTAGACACACTGATGCTTAGTGCTAGAAAGCCACATGTAGTGTAATTATAATGAATACAATATGTCAAATCAAATCATCCAGATCCTAGATCTGGATCAATAAATGGATTACATGCACTTGCTTTGGTATAATAAGCATAATACATTGTACATATATACAAGAGAAAGTCACTATGTCAGATATTGCTTGTCTGTATGATGACAACAAGCTTCAATGTGACAAAGCCACAACATAATTTTCTACAAGAAAATAAAGAAAAATCAAATTGTCCACTAGATAGATTGTACCACTGTCTGTAGTTATAGTCATCCAATCAAATAAATTTTACTACCTCATGTAGATCTGATAACAGATAATGAATACATATATCCAGTCAAATGGTAACAACAGGAACTGAAACCACACAATACATGTATGCTCTTCGTGGGTTGTTGCTGTTATAAAAATATGTAATCAAAATCACTTTTATATGCCAATTTATGTAGGGTTTAAAAATATATAATCAAAATGAGCAGGACAATACCTCTGCTGCACTATCAAGGTTTGCTGAATCAGATGCCTTTGGATTACCAAACGGCCGAATTTCATTCTCGCGACCACGCCAAACAGGGGACTTTAGTGTTGCTTCTCTAGATTGCATCCAGTTCAAGTTCCCCTGTAATTAAACAAAAAAATTCTAAGAAATTGTTTTACAGAAACAAATAAGTTGATTCCTTGATGTTAAAATAATAGACACCAAACCACTAAATAATGAAACAACAAAAGACCTGTATCGTATTGATCTCCCCATTATGACCAAGTAACCTCATTGGTTGCGCAAGAGGCCATCTGGGGCTAGTATTAGTGCTATATCTTCGATGATAGATTGCGAAAGGAGATTCATAAAGTTCATTCTGGAGGTCCAAATAAAATTGTCCCAGAACTTCTGAGCGAAGCATGCCCTTGTAAACTATTGTTTTATTTGATAGAGAACAAAAGTAGACATCATCTTTCCATTCTTCTGATTTTGTTGCCCTTTCAATTAACTTTCTACAAATATATAATTCTCTCTCAATGTCATCGGCATTCTCCTCTTTTGAAACTTTGACAAACACTTGTTGTATACTAGGCATTGCTTCTTTGGCATAGTAACCAACTATTGATGAATTCACCGGAACAGGTCTCCAACCAATGACCTCCAATCCTTCTTTTAAGAATATCTTCGAGATTACTGTTACAAAGAAAAACAACAGTTCAAAATCACATAGCTCATAAAAATAGTGGAGATTAAAATGAAAACAAGAAGGAAACAGTAAGTAAACTCTTTTTTCTACTCATTGACATGAAGAGAAACTGAGATAATGTTTATTGGCTAAGAAATTAATAATCCAAACGTTGAAAAGCAGCAGAAAGTTGACTCATACGTGAAATGTGAGACATCATGCAAAATATGGTAAAAAGAAAGTAAAATCCTTTAGATTTTTTAAATGGACATCGCTGTATACATAAGCACCAGACATAGATATAGCTAATTAGCATAAAATGTTGTATTCACAAAATTAAGGTAAAAATACTTTGGAGATCAAACTAACCAGAAATTAAGCATTTTCTGCAGTACCTGATTTTGCTTCTTTCATGAACTTTTCATCTTTTGGAAGAAAAACCATTCCAACGCCAGTCTTCGACCTGTCCAAGGAAGCAAGTCCTTGTTTGACAGCCCAATTATCATACAGCTGCCATGGAACTGAAGTCATCACACCAGCCCCATCACCAGAATCATTATCTGCCCCACAACCTCCACGATGTTCCATGCAACCCAGAGCTGTAAGAGCATCCTTTACAATCTTATGAGAAGGCTCGTTCTTCAAGTTTGCAATGAACCCAACCCCACAAGCTCCTCTTTCTGAGATGATATCGCTCAAACTAGCAACCTGATAAGAAAGAAAAAATTTATTGCAAAAAAAAAAAAGAATATCCAATGCAATATTTGTTGATAATCATGCGCTAGAACAAATAGACCAAGCTACTACTATTCAAGAATAGGAATTTGATGTAAACCGGAAATGTTGCTCCTCTTGTAGCCAACTTTACAGGTCTTACTTCAAATTCTTATAGTTCAATCTAACAGAATATCTATCAGCCATTATACGATGAAGAAAATCTATCACAGTTCCTAAGCACTCTGACTCCGTACAAAAATAAGCTCCTTGTGCATCGATATAATGTGCGAGAAGGGGAGAACAATGTTTACAAGATTCGACCGTCCACGAAAAACTAAGCAGTAGAAAAACCAACAGAGACCAAGATTTCAGATACAAAGCAAGCAAATCCATCGCATAGCTGCTGACCTGAAACTCCGAACTCTGAAGAACATTCGACGCTGTTGATCGGTTTCAATTATCAATAAGTAAACTCACGTGTATCGGAAAGGCAAAAAAGGCCTATTCAACAAACGAAGAACTACAAAACAGTAGATCCAACTATCGTTATCTTATTTAACATTCGAGGAAGTTTATACCTGTGGCCGATCATCCGGACAACGCTGTTTGACCACCGACGCCCTGAGAGCAGCCCCCTGGCGGTCCACGTCAAGCACCGCCTTAACAGACGCCGAGGACCATCCGCTCGCACCGACTCCCCTGAGCGCCGCCGCCCGATGCCGCCTCCGCCGCCGGCTAAGACAGGAGGCATCGCCGAAGAACAAACTCCGGTTGGAGGCGAGAAAGATCGGGTTCGACGGCGAGGAGCGGAGGAGGATCTTGGGTGTAGCGGGCAAGTGATTGGACGGGCTGGCCATTCGCGAGGCGGTGTCTCTAACCCTCGCCCGGGGCGGGGGGGGGGGGAGGGGACGAGAGATGGATCGTGTGGAGGCGCTGAGATGAGGATAGAGGAAGGATGGAGAGTGAGTGTCTTTGTGGAATACGAAAGGATAGATAGGGAGAGGGAAGGAGAGAGAATCCGCCTCCTCTCACGTCTCTCTCCACCGATGAGATATAGAGGGAAGGGTGGGAAGGGTGAAGCAGGGAAACGGCCGAAATTTTCTTGGGATAAATGGCCTCTCTGGGTTTCGGGAGTCAAATAAGGGGGTTGTGGCTGCCGTGCTCCTCGGCGCAGAAGTGCTGCCACAGCGCCATATGTATCGCACGAACAAGCGGGAGCCACTTCTTGGAACCCACCCCAGCCAGTGGATCCAAATTTGCAGGACGACCGGAGCCCCAATGAGATGGTGTCTTCCTACCGATGCCTGCACCTGCGCTCCTCGTGGCACGTAGCTGGCTACGACTTGTACATTCGTTTGATCCAGTCTTTTATACCCCTCTATTTACTTGGTCCCAAATGATGGTATCGAACTACTATTTTAATTTTGATGCATAATGTACGTATGCTACGGATAAACTCATAGGATAATAATTATTCGATATGTTATGCGAAGTGGAGGTGCTTTGCGAAGATAATAATAATATTGTATTATATTATGCAAACAGTATCTGACTGGCAGAATATTTTCCCTCATTAATAATATAACTAATTATGTTATAATTTGTGTACGGGCTACAGTGATCTATCTCATGCTTACCAAAGAACAGAGTGGGCTTATTTTACTCGTTTGCGTGTGGTTACTCCACAAATAAGGTGACACGTTAAAACGACGCGTGTCGACGTCGGTGATGACGTCTTCGTGGGGGCCGGAGGAGACGGGCCGCCATGAATATTCGGGAAGCGTTGGCTTTCCTTCTTCAATTTTCCCGCACCGGACGACCTACCCGCGAGATGATTGGATAGGTAGAGTGGGCCCCTTCTGGGTCCCACGAGGAATCTGGGATCGGTTGGCATTTCTCGGAGTGATAGGTCCGGAAGCGTAAACAAGTGTGCAACACGTCCTCCGTGACCTTATTAAGGGCTAAAATAATACTTACCATCATCAACTTGGGTAGCGGAGATATGTACAAGTAGAGCGGAGCACGTGGAGGAAGTCGTCAGGATCAGACGGTCTACGTTTATTAATGAGATCCGTCAGGAGATTCTTCGCCGTTCGTGTTCTATAACACAGCATAAGAATCAAAGACACAGAGTGGAGCGATTTGATCTTATCTTGATGACTTCGCATCATGGCTGGTTGACCATCTAAGTTAGCATATACGACAAATCCACATGTGACAAAGCTTGCTTCTGTTGTCATTGTTTTGACATGCTTTACATGCTAACACAATCTTAGGTTCTGTTCTTCAACCCTGTACAGTATCTAGCAAATTCCTGTTGCTCTTCCAATGAAAACAAAAAAAAAAAAGGAAATCACATCTGATGCATGTTACAACTCTAAATGGCTTACATGCTCCTTGTTACATTTTTTCTACCATACCTCGCATTAAGATAATTAGTACTACCTGTGCAAATAAATGATTAGTGAAATGAATGAAGCCATATTCACATTTACTGCAGCAGAACCACATTTGGGAGCCACAGGCTGAGCTCCAAGGTCTCGGTTGTGGCTGAGGCAGCAACATCTGATGTTGATCACACTGAAGTAATGTACATGTGTGCCGTGCCGATAGCTGAGAGCCCAGTTTGCTGCCCGACCAGATTCTTGGGTGTTTTCCTGAAGTACAAGTCAACCAAGAAAGCCTGTTGATGCTTTCAGCTAAGAGTTTTGTTCAGGCATCTTCTGTGAAAGCTCTGTATATGAAGTCACGAAAGCGTTTCGAGTACTGTTTCGGATCTACCGCTGATATTGAGGCTGGATCAAAGTGAATGGACTTGTATGCATGCTCTAGTTTTTTGCTGATATCGTAGTCTTGCAATATGTCTATAATGCCAAAAATCAAGACAACATCATAGAAGTCCCCGGTGGCTTCTCCAATAAGCTGGGAATCGCTATAACTCCTCCTAACTGACAGTTCAGCCCTAGCTGGCACGTTCACTCCTAGTCGGATTTTTGCCGCCCTACAGCAACCAAATATGAGGGGGAAAAAAACTCAAGGGCTAGTCTGCAGAAGTCAATGGCTTGATGTTTTACGGATGTAGATGCTTTATAACAAATGCATACGAACACAGAACAAAGCATTCAGTGAGATAAATGATTTCAGATCCAGGAGGTTAAAATAAATATAGCACAAACTTCTGCATTAACATCATGAAGAATCATATTTCAATATCAATATCATAGAATTAGAGAAAACTATGTCAGGCATTTCAGACAGTCTGAATTTAACAATTTAATGTTAGGATTTAACAAGTAAACCATGAAAAAGTTACGAAGGAACACTATTTGTCACATGTTAAACATCAAGAGAATAGAATATATAGAAGAAGCAAGCATGGCACATTGCACTATCTAACTGCGTTGTCAAAAGATCCCCTGATAGTTTCGAATAATAATAAGAATACTTCTCAAGAGGACACGTAACAAAGAAAACAAAGTGACTAAATCATAATGGTTATACCTATTTGGATCATAAAGAAATTGATCCACATCTCTTGGAGGCTGCAATGTTGCTTCTCTTTTGCTATCAACGGCACCACCTTTCACCAACAGATCTGCAACTTAGTAAATGAAGTCAGTAAACTAGAATCATATGTTTTGATGGCATTTCAGAAATATTAAATTGAACCTTCAAGCAAAGGCATCTCTCTCGAAATTCTGAAGTGGACTCCCACTAGAAGGCTATAATCCATGATCCTCTCTTGCTCAAGAAACTCACAGTCCCTGTCAACTTGCCTGTAGAAGGCACATTTGTTAACTTTATTCTACATAAGAAAAAAATAGAGCTTCTAGGGTCAAAATGCCATGAAACTACACATAATTGATAACAATACCTTTGGAACTCTTGAAACCAAGGCCGTTGGAGACGAAAAATAAAATTAAGATCAAGATCTTTTAAAGTAGTGTATTCATCAATCTGAGACTCTGGCTTACTGGTCATCCGACCATGGGAAGATCCTTTCAGGTCGAAGCGCCTATGAATAGCATACTCAGAGCAGAACAAATTTTCCATTATAACAAAGCGGACCTGATTAATTGTAACAGAAAAATGCAAAACCTTATGTATCATGAAAATAAATCTTCCAATCAAAAGGGATGTTCACTGAGACCCACATTCTGACCTTCTTCTGTGAAGATCCAGCTAACTTTACACAGTGAAGACCAAAGAACTTGGTCACCAAACTGTTCTCAAATTTCCGGACATGGTTATAATATGCTGGAAGCATTCTCAGAAGGACCTGTAGAACAATACGTTATGTATTGGGTAGATCAGGAATAGGTTTCCCCCTTTTAAATAGAAAAAATGAATCCAATGGGCAAAGAAACTCACTTTTACTTCAGACTTCTTCATTGTCTTTATCATGTATCTGTCATCGTTAGTCACGTAGAAGAAGCTTCCACTCTTTCCCGGAGATGATAGCTCCCGAAGAGCATCATTGCCACAAAGAGACATCATGTAATCTGCTGCATCAACTTTGAACAGCCTGCAAAGTGTCCTGAACATTCAATTTAAGTATAATGTCTCGTCAAGTCTTAAAAGTCTGAACTAGTTTAAGAATAAAAACTCTCGGGACATTTGGGGCACAACAAAGCAAAAGTCAATGGCCTACCTGAATACTAACGGACAGTAGTCTTTCCATCTAAAATCACATGATTGATGTGGAGGTGTATGCTTTGATCCTTCAGGAGGAAACTTTGTCCACACTTTTTCTTTTGGGTCAAAGGCTGATGATTTCAGCTCCATATGAGATAGACTTTGTTTTCCAACGGCATGTCTGTATGGCAACAAACATTAAATTTAAGAACTCCGGAGAAAAAGGATACATAACAATCATTTATCTTATAAATAAACCAGTAATGTCCATTGTCTTAGTATCTCTTTTATTGAGAATCATATGCACATAGCAATACAATGTAGATGTGATAAATTAATCTTATGTGTGCACCAACCTATAACAGATTAGCACTAGAAAAATTCTTTTGTTTTCATAGTCACAACTCATCGATAAATCTGATCCTGCCAAAAATACATAATATCAATTATACAAAGCAGCTGAAGTTAATTCTAGCTGAAAGAAGAAAAAGAAGAAAAACCAGACCCAAAATCTCAGATATAAATATCAGTTCCAATGAGAAGAAGACTCTTCTGAGTTCATAACCATGCTAATATAAAGCCGTAAATGAAAAAACAAAACCTACATGTTTACCCTTGAGAGTTATCTTTATTCAAAGGTTACATATCTTTTTAGCAATAACATAAATGGACCATTGAAAATGAACGCACAGCCAACTAATGTAATGAAATTACACATTTCAACACATGAAAGCCAATTGGACAGGACCATTCTTAGGATGGTTTTGCACCATGGTGTTCCTAAGACCTCTGCACTATCTGAATGTTGATGCCTTTAATAGGAGAACCAACTTCATCACCATATGCATGATAGTAGCATCCACCAAAGGCTACAAATAGCCATGCAGAAGAAAACAATACCTGATCCCGAGCTGGAGATTGAGCATAAGCTCGTAATTCTTGTGCCCTTTTGTGATGGTTTCTCCATGTTTCTTCACTGGTCTTGGAGGTGGCCAGGCCATGTGTGGTGGGTTCATTGGCAGTTTTGGCTCCACCTCACTTCCACCCTTCACAGGTACCTTACTCCTATCAACCATGTCCCAGGGCACAGGATGCGTCCTACCATTCGGCCTTCTGGGCGGCAACCAGTGATCGGCGTTATCGACCAAGGCCTGAATCCTGGAGCGGTCGGTGGCGCCAGATTCAGGGACCTTGGGAGACCTCCACACCTCAATGCCAGGCCAATTGATGGCCTTCTGTGAGGGAAGTAAAGACATAGTTTCCCCCGACGGTATCTTGCATTCCTGGAGGTCCACTGCAAAGGCTTCCTGTGGATCTCGTGCCGTGGGGGAAGTCACAGCGGGCGAAGGGTAGTACACCCCATTCTGCTCGATCTTGGCATTCTCCTTACTCCATTCGCCGACGTAGAGGCTGCCGTCAGCCCATCGGAAGCTGCCGTTGCCCCTCGGGCATCCATTATCCCACCCGCCATCGAACCGGTTGCCATTAGCCCAGATGAGGGATCCTCTGCCATGGATGAGCCCGGCGCGCCACTGCCCGACGTACTCGCTCCCATTGCGCCAAACGTAGCGGCCATGGCCGTCCTGTAGGCCGGAGCGCCACTCGCCGTCGTAGTAGTCGCCGTTGGTGTAGGACGTCTTGCCGTGACCGTGCTTCAGGTTCATGGACCAGCTTCCCCAGTAGGTCTCGCCGGAGGCGCCGGTGTAGGTGCCGAAGCCGTCCATGAACCCGGCCTTGAACTCGCCCTCGTAGGTGGCGCCGGAGGGCCACGAGAACTTGCCGCGGCCGGTGGTCTTCCCGTGCCGCCACTCGCCCTCGTACATGCACCCGTCCGTCCAGAGGTACTTGCCGGTGCCGTGAGGCACACCGCGGGACCACTGGCCGATGTAGAGGTCGCCGATGGGGAAGGAGCGCTCCGCGTGGTACACCTCGTCCTCCCCCTCGGCCTCGGCCTCGAGTGAGCCGTCGTCGCCCCCTCCGCGGGGCGAGGAGGAGGATCCGGTGTCGTCGCCGGCGGGGGCGACAGACATGGGCGAGAGGGGGCAGATGCAGCGGCGCTGGTGCAGCTGCTGCTGTGCTTTCCGGATGGCCGACTCCCACGCCTTGGCGTTGTGCTGCTGCGCTTTGTACATTCTATTCCTCCGGCTCTTGTACGTATCCCCGCCTCTTCTCTCTTCTACTGACGCAGCATCACAACCGAGTCCAACAAAAGCATTGCCGAAACCACGCCGATCGGCAAGGAGAGGGAGGAAGCCGAGGACACCGAGGGAAAGAAAAGAGAAGAACGAGGGAGGCGATGGGGTTATGTCTTTTCTTTTTTTTTCTTTTCTTTTCTTTTCTTTTTCTTTTTTTTTGGTTTCTTTTTTGATTAATGAAAAATAAAAAAAGGGCAACAAAATAGGAGAGTTTTGTTGCGTTGGTTTCGTTGTATTGCGCTGCGTCTCCTCCCAACAACTGGAAGGTCGGAAGAGGCGGACGTGCCTATTTTCCAGCCTGCCGTTATTACACTGGCTTCTGGGAGGAGATCCTCATCCGTGAGCAACGACGAGTCCGTCCACTGCTTTGTACGCACGGACCAAAGAACCAACACATGACTCGTATAACAGAAATGACAATGATGCATAGAATAATATAATATAACATATATGTATATGTATTTTTTTTCTAGAAAATTCTTATATTTTAAATACTTTTTAATTGATATTCTTATTTAATTTTTTTAAATAGTATCTTTAATTTAAAAATATCTAAATTATTTCTAAAAAAAGTTGGAACTAATCGAAATATCGTAAGAACTACTCAAAAATACTATGAATAATATAAATTAACTTTAATCTCGATCAAATTAATTATGAGTTTAAAATATAATTTTCTATTGATCTGATAATGACAATCAAAAGGTAAATATGATGTTATTTACGGTATCTTTCGATATCGGTTACAGTGCTCTTAAAGCATTGTAAATATTGTTGAAAAACAATTTGATGATAAAACTTTTAAGGGTTATTTTATGTATTTTTAAATTAAAGATATTGTTTGAAAAAATAATAAAAAAGAGAGTACCTTTTGAGAAATACTCGAAATATGGTTTTTCTAAATCACTATATATATATACATCAATTAATCTTTATCATAGAATGTTAGTATAGAGATGGTTAGGATTTCATTTGAAATTAATTTTATTTTAATTTTTGAACTACATATATTAACATACTATTTCTCCATATAGCGATGGATGGAGATTATAAATTTTAATATTTATTTTGTTAACTCCACTATATGACTTTAATAACATTACGGAATGGTCGTTAATACTAACTCTTGAGGATTCAACTATGACTTAGATGACATAAGGGAAATACTCGCTAACACAGACTCTTATGGAGAAAAGCATTTCTGATTTCTTGACCTTCACAACCTTTGCAACGAGGGGGTTGAGGTTCTCGACCTCCGTATGAATATAGCAAGGGGGATCAAGACCTCCAACATTGACACTTTAACAATAAATGGGTCAGTCGATGCCCAACCTCCACACTTGGATAGTAAGAGGGATTTGAGGAACTTGATCTCTAAGACTCAACAACGAGGGGTTATCGAGTTTCTCGACCTTTGACATCCGACCCTTCTTCTAACATCAAAAATATTATCGAAAAATCTTATCGACGTCTTGATTAATCTGATATAATTCTGGCCTATGTGCATAGAATTATTTGATGTGTCCTCGAGGTGAAAATGATTAGTTCTCGAAATGCCATGAAGATCGAGATTGTGAAATGTTTCCTAACCCCATATACGCTCAATTTAATAACCCTAGAAAACTAAATATGATGATACATAGTAAAAAGTGATCCATTTAGTAACTATACTAAAAATGAGATTTTATACATAATGATAAAATATTCTATGAAATATTTTAAGAAGGAGCAAACCCCGTATCTAACAATCTTCAATTGACCTACGTGGATTGAAACAATATGTAATTGTTTGCATTAGATCCTTATCCACGTGGGGACAGACCGGTAGGGGCAATATTTATCTCTTTCTTTTATGCTGAATGCTGATGTTGATTAATCAATGATTATATATATATATATATATATATATATATATATATATATATATATGGTAGAGTAGCTTTGACCAGTTTTGTGATAATTCAGCCGTTCATCTCGAATGATCAATGACTGTCTAGGAGTCGGTCAGCACAACCCATTAATGGCGTTGACTTATTAATGGGTTGACTCTAAAACTCATATTTTATTATAAAATCTGAAGAAAATCAACATGTATTTCACGACTCGAACATCGTCACCCTCTCGAACGAAGAGCTTCAAACATCGCACAATTTCTGTTTTGATCTTTGACGATCGATCAAACAGAGGTCTCATTGATCAAAGTTATTGACCATTATGTCACTTTATAGCATGCTCTAAGGTGATGGCTGATATCGCGAGGAGCAAAAGCTGCAATGATTACACTGAACAAATATTTCTTGATCACAATCAATATATATAGGACGACAGTAGAAAGTGAAACTTCCTTCTCCCTACACTGCACAAATATTTATATAAAGGAAATGTTCATCCACAAACAGTGAACACATGAAGCAAAATCACAGAAAAATGCAAGCTTTTGAGGAACTCCACAAACGTACACAGCAGGAAGATTCAGAGCATGGTCTTGGAAGCCTTCCTAACCAGCAGAAGCCAACAGAGAACTCGATAGGCCAAGAAGAAACAGCACATGATTCCAACGTCCATCCACCTGGTGTCCTTTTCCAATCCTCTGGCCCTTAGAACATCACCACCCGTGAGAGAGCACACATCACCGAGCCAGGAGAAGCACTTGCCTCTCACGCTCCAGTACTCGTTGATCAGTAGGAAGTCCAGTGGATACCTGTAGAGGGAGATGTAGTACATGAAGATCCAGTACTTTGGGATGCTGTCCTTGGGAATGAAGTATCCCGAGAACAGGAAGAAGATCCCCAGGAATGTGCATATCAGAGAATTCCCCAGTATGAAGTCCGGTGAGACTGCACTGAGGAAGAGAACCAAGGAGCTGGCCATCAACACAATCATCCAGACTGCCAGCACGAAGAACATGAACGCGCTGATGGAGGGATTGAGGCCTACGAGCCAGTACACTGGCACTGCGAACAGAAGCGCCACCACCAGTAAGAAGGGGATGAAGACGACGGTGTTGGCTACCATGTAGGAGGAGACCCGATACATCCTCCTCGATGTCTCCCTCATGAGAACGCGCCGCTCCTGCAGGAAGATCGGTAGTGCTTCCACGGTGGAAGAGAGGAGGAAGCTGAGGCTGAAGGCGAAGAGGCCGAGCCTCTTTGCTATACCATCGGGATCCGACTTCACACGCAGGTAAACGGTGCCGAGTCCCAGCCCACCAACGATGGCTTGCATCGTTCTGGCGAGGAACAACTGCTTTGTTCTGTAGATTATCTTCCAAAACCTCCAGCTGAGTGTTCTCATCTCAGCTATCCGCGAGCAGTAGCCATCGTCTCTCTCAGGGTGGTCTCCCTCTAATCGTTCTTGGCTTGGCTCGTTGGGACAGTTAATGGTCGCGTGTTTGGCACCGTAATCCTCCAATTGTTGGGTGATCTCCATGGCGAACTCCAACGGATTGACTCGGACAGGGATCTTGAATCCCAGCTGCGATATCGTCTGTGAGAGAGATTGGATGCTGCCATAATGAGCTAACTTGCCATGGGAGAGGAGCAAGAAAGACGAGACATATTGAAGGATCCGATAGCTCGGCTGGTGTATGGTTAGAATCAGGATCTGCTGCCTTGTTCGGGCCATGGAAGCGAGTAGCTGAACCACCTGCAACGCCGAGGTACTGTCGAGGCCCGACGTGGGCTCGTCGAGGAGGAGGATGGGCGGGTCGTGGATCACGTCGACGCCGATGGAGAGCCGCTTCCTTTCTCCTCCGGAAATCCCTCTAGTCTCCGCGTCCCCGACATAGCTATCGGTTACATGTTCGAGGCGCAGTTCTCGGATGAGTCCCTCCACTCTCTCTTCCATCTTTCTCTCGCTCATCCCTTTCAGCCGGAACTTGGCACTGAACATCAACGTTTCCTTCACGGTGAGGAGGGGAAGCAGATTGTCCTCCTGGGTGACGAAGCCACAGATCCTTCGCAGCTGGGCTGAGCTCGTCAGAGGATGATCGCCGAGGGAGATGCTTCTCGGATCGAAAAGCGAACTACCGGAACGGCCGGAGATGACACGGAGAAGGGTCGACTTCCCAGCGCCACTGGGTCCGACGACGGCGAGGATCTCCGAGCTGTTGGCAACGAAGGAAACTGATCTGAGGACCTCCACCGCGCGAGGCTCATGTTTGCGACGGAAGCACGAGCGGATCAGACTGGCCTCGGGCAGGACGGTGTAGCAGAGATTGGTCACGACCAGCTTGTTCGAGGCTTTCACGGGCGGAGGAGGGGATGTTTGGTAGACAGAAGACGACGGGGAGCTGGATTCCGGAGGGGAGTCGGAGGTCGAGGAGTATTGCAACGTGGAGTTGACGTCGAGGCAGAGACTCTCCATTGCTGGCGAAGACAAGTACTCCTGCAGCTCCTGGATGAAGAAGCGGGATTATGTCCGGTAAGAAACAAGGCGTCCGACGAAAGGTAGAGAGAGAGAGAGAGACGGTTTCGTGTGAGTTGGACCTAACCGTCTGAAAGCGTTCAATGGCGGTTGGAACCAACTGAGACCGGAGAGACGGTTTCGTGTGAGTAAGGATGGGTTGGCACCGTTAGGCGATCAGAATCAAAATGAATCATATTGAATACAATTTCACAAACACATTACGTGCTGCTTTGTATGTCACGGTTTGACCAGCCGAGTTGGGAATTTGGGTTGTGGTGATACTTCTGTACCGTAAAAAAGGATGGCGGAACAGTTTCATCATCGAAGTGAGGTTTTGATTTCATCATACATCAAGACAATGCAAAAAGGTTTTGTTCGACGGTGACTCCCATCTCCTAATAACAAGCTGATGGCGCGATGTTCTCACATCTTGCGTCGGCCGCGGATGTGGAGACTACAGGGAGCCTCGAAGGCCCTGTTTCACCTCCCACCAATGGTGACGGAGCCCACGATTTTGGCCCAACTCGCGCAATCCCACACTCGGAGCTCAACTCTCTGCCCGCTTGATCTCGCCTGGCGGCAGTCCCCCTCCGTCTTCGTCCCCAGTCATCCCAGCGAAATGCAAGTAAAATGTGGCGACGTCCACCATGCGGCCGCTCTGTTCGACAAAATGCCACGGCAAGGCGCGTGATCGAGAAACTGAAGAGATAAAGGTAATTGGGAGATCTCATAAACTCTCAATTTGTTCTTGACTCTTAGTTGACATCATAGGATCTGTGTATGCTGCCATTGCTGATAAAAAACCTTGAGACGAAGAAATTTACTTCACCTAATCGATAGTATATTTTGCATGTTGAGAAGCTTTCTTTCAGGCCAATCATTGGTGTCAAAAGAACAAGTTGCAAAGCATGCTACCTGAAAGTGATGGGTGCATCATAAAATACACAATTTAGTCCGTGCATAGCGATCTACTGGTTGATGATACAATTTGGTACACCTAATTCAATTGCAAGAGCTAGTTAATAGAGGAATAAGGAACCCTAGGGAGGGAAGAAGGCACCACCCTAAGGAGCTGCAAAGATCATCAACTGTTCCATGGGTTTGAACAAGGGAGATTGAGGTCCTCCTCCATGAAGCTCTCTGATTATGGAAAGGAATCTTGGTGTGGCAATGACATTAGGTGATCGACAAGGCATGGATGTTGACCCATCAACAAGGGCATAATACCACCAAGCCAATCCACTTCAAGAGAAGGATTTGATTAAGAAAAGGAAGTGGGTCAGATTGTGGGGTGATCATAGTGCTTTGGTTGAGAGGGGCTTCAGGGTTAACTATGCAATCTGTGCTTATCGAAGGCCCTGTGTTGTCAAAGTAATCTCACATCCTTGGCAACACAACAAAGCATGAGAAGAAATCCACAGCTCTATCTTATACTTTAGGGAACTTTCTTGTCTCGTATTGCCTGTTGGTTTTGTTGAGTTGCAAGGGTGAAGCAGGAGTCAGTAATCCAGTGTGCACCTGTACCTCTATCTTGCCAGGATCTACAGTGACAAAGGGTTAAGCCCTGACAAGAACCCATAGAAGAGAGTGACAGAACCATGAATGGTCAAGGCCCAACTTGAGATGATTTAGTTTTATAAAATGTACTCCCCCATCCCTGGCCAGATGCTCTCTCTCTCTCTCTCTCTCTCTCTCTCTCTCTCTGGTGTAAGAACAACAACTGAGAGAAGCTCTCTGTGGCGATCCAGAAGAGAAGGTGAGCGTCTTTTTATCTCAGGAGGAGTATGCTATGGCTAGATCATGTATGCGAGTGTTCTTTTCCTTAATTGGCTCTCTTGTTTTGGTTCTCTTGCTGCAGAAGGCAGGGTATCGAACAGGTGTAAGGATCCAATGAAGTGTATGAAAGGTGATTGTTTGTGTTGGTGAAAGGATCTTGGATGGAAAATCAAAGCGCTGGTGAAACTGGTCTTTCGGAGTCTGGACCTTCAAGTCGACCTATGACACATGGAGTTAATGGAATCACACCTTCTGCCACAAATTTCTTGTACTGTTCCTCCATGTTCATCTCTTAGCTTCCGCTTCTTTTTCTTAATATGTTTGAAGACTAGTTGTTTGTGTTTTCCCCGTTCTTTCTTCAGCTTCCTAGTTACGTTTCAAGTCCTATTTTGTGAAATCCTTTAGCTTTTGCATGAGCAGATGTAAGGCAGCTTATAATCTCTCTATCTTCCATTTTGACATATCCATCAGATCTTCCTTGTTGCCTTCTTTTATCATTCTGTGAAGAAATATTTGATCTTCTAGGTTCAGCAGATCTGCACCCTTTCATCGCCAGCCTATCATCTCTCTTAGTTTTTTGCTTCTTGTTAATGTTTTATCTGTCTTAAGTCTTGAAATTATACTGCTTATTGTTGAATGAAAAGTTTTCTGGGTGCTTCACCAGTGACCAAGAAGGAGCTGCTTACTTTGGGGGGTTGGAAGAGGCTCTCATGCATGGAGTTGCTGGAATTAGGAGCGACGAAGAAAGGAAGTGTAAGCCTCTCCAGCCCAACACATCTAAGAGTCAATCATCCTTGGCTTGTGCTCCAACACAAACATGGAAGAGGGGTTTGAACTGGTCTCCTACTTCCGGGATCACAGCAAGCGGGAGACCAAGAATGATGTGATCCCACAACCACCTACCCACGGAAACCTACTCTCCAACTTTTTACTGTTCCATTCCTACTAGTTCTCTGCAGGCCTTGAACAGGAAAAGGAATAAGTTCACTTAGAAACATCATTGACAGAAGGCTATTTACTCCTTTGTGATTCTGACACAGTTTTATTGATCTTCTGCATGCAGCCCTTTTCGCAAGCAGACCCCCAACACTTGAGATCTTCCCATCATGGCCAATGAGATTTCAACAAATTCCCAAGGTATGGTCTTACCTTTTGACTCCTAGAAATTGACTGTTGCACTTCCTCCTTTAATGCCAACAGTGGAATTCACAGCCAGAGGAGAGCGCCGATTCAGGATCTGTACAGAACACAATTTCCCAGCTGGACTCAGAGTCCCCGGTGAGCAGAAAAGCTTCATCAGAACAGTCAGAAGAGCAGCAGCAAGGAACAATGGCAGGTGATGGGGCACCAAACCAACAGCTCAGAACTCAAGAAAAGGTACGAATTCATGTGGTTTCTTCCTGTCATGGCATCACCGAACCCTTCCAATCCCATAATCACCATACATGAGCTGCACTATAGTCTTCTCTCTCAATCGGAAGGAACAAGGTCCAATCTTAAGATCTCGATTCTCCTCCTGCTTGTGGCTCTTACTGATCCTGGAACAGAGTTTTACCAGCACTCATCCCAAGAAACGATACAAACTCCAACAAGTTGACATCTGGTTTGACATCATCTAACTGCTGACTGCTATTCTTAGCCTGCGTATCCAATCTCACAAACTCCAAGAAGATCAACAGCTTTTACATCGAAAAAGACAACATTTATTTGATTTATGTAATTGAACATCTTCATCAGTACCTACTGCTAATAATTAAGAGTCTACCAAACAAAAGGCCATATCATTAAGGTTGATGTTTTCCCAGTCGTCAAACAGGTCTTGAAACCAAATAATATTCTTCCGCACCTTCTTCCAAACACTATCGCACAATCGGGATTTCAAGACATCGAAATCTCGACTTCTTCGTTGCCTAACATCCCAGGCTTATGTATATTTTACGGGAATAGCATTAAGTGGTGGTAGAAAAATAGCTAGACAGCAGTTGTCAGTGTGCTACAGTAAGTGTATATGGCTCTTATTTCCTCCTCCCATCACCATGCATGGTTTAACAAAACCATTTGCCATGCCTTTCATGTGGCAGAGAAATGTGGTTGGTGGTTCTTCTTCAGAGAAGGATGGGAAAGTACTAGATGCAAAGGTTGCGTCTCTCTCTCTCTCTCTCTCTCTGTATATATTTTATATTTGTATCAACGTAGCTAATTAAGTATTTTTGTGGGTATGCGTATGCATGCACAGAATTATAGTTCAGGTAATGCTTTCTGCTTGTGCTTCAGTTTACAGCCTTGAGCATCTTCTGCACATATTAAATGTCAAGTATCCAGTACGGTAGAACAAACAAGACATGCACATTTGTGTGGCTGTGTTGTGGAAACATAGAAAGAAGAACTCTCCGGCGTTTGACTAAGGCTCACCTTTTTTGTTACTGCAGACGTTAAGACGCTTGGCTCAGAATAGAGAAGCTGCAAGAAAAAGCCGGCTAAGAAAGAAGGTTGGTTTGGCTTGAGATTTGTTAGGGTAATTGTAGTCTACTTCTTCGGATCGAGGAAAAAATGATTGATTTGACACAATGTGCTTCGAAGTGACAGGCTTACATACAACAATTAGAGTCCAGCAGAATCAAACTTACTCAGCTGGAGCAAGATCTCCAGAGAGCTCGAGCACAGGTAGAACCGAGCATATCTAACCAACCTTGATTGGTTTCCCTGTGCTATGTATCGACTCATTTTCAATTCTTTGGTTTCCAGGGTCTCTTCTTGGGAGGAGGCAGTGCAGGTGATACCATCAGCTCTGGTATGAAGCTCTTCCATTGCAGTCGATATGTTGTTGAAGAGATTTCGTTTCTTATACTAGATTTTGACATGGAATACTGCAGTTTTTGACATGGAATACTCCCGATGGTTGGAAGAGAACTATAAGAAGATGATGGAGCTTCGAGGAGGTCTACAAGCGCATCGTCAAGATGGAGATCTCAGGGTCACAGTAGACGAATGCCTCGCCCTCTACGACGAGCTCTTCCAGCTCAAAGCCACAGCAGCTAGATCAGACGTCTTCCACGTTCTCACCGGCTTGTGGACAACACCTGCCGAGCGGTGTTTCCTATGGATGGGCGGATTCAGGCCCTCCGAGCTGCTAAAGGTTGAACTCTCAGCCATTTGCCTTCACTTCCTCCCACAGCTAGATTGCTCTCATCCTCCTCATCATTAGTATGCGCTCGTTTCTGCTGCAATGACCAGATCGTACTGCCTCAACTGGATCCCTTGACGGAGCAGCAAGTAGCAGGGATATGTAGCCTCCAGCAATCTTGCCAACAGGCGGAGGAGGCGCTCTCGCAGGGCCTCGAGCAATTCCTCCGGTCGCTTGCTGATACTGTGACCGGTGACTCCCTCGTTGAGAGCTCCAGTACTGGGAATTACATGAGTCAAATGGCCATTGCATTGGGGAAGCTTGCCAATCTCGAGGGATTCCTCCGACAGGTCCTCTTTTCTTTGCTCAATTCTCTTTCTTGCATCGCCACCTGCTAATTACCCGACTTGTGAGCCGGTCATGGAAGTATGCATTAATCAAAATCTTTCTATGTATCACTAGGTTTGTTTCACTGTTAGAAACTTGATATTGATCATAAACAACATTTCCTTCAACATCGGTCAGATGAATGTAGAAACACTAGAAATTGTCGAGGGGGCCAAAATACATCAGATAGTCTCTTATCTGAATACATGAGATATATTTCTCACATGCGTTCCAATTTTTGGTCAAGTTGCGAGCCTCTTTCTCTCTGGATGTGGTGATTTCAGGCCTCTGGCATTTGTTACTAGTTAAGGTTTGAGCATGAATCCTTGCATCCTTCTCTTGGGTCCCACATGAAGGATTTTGAGGATGGAAGGCTCTAGATTTGGCCACTCTTCCATTCCCAACATCTTTTGCAATAACCCAATGGCTTGTAGCTTTTCAGGATGGAGTCCATGGAAAGTGTTCTTGGTATATATTCAAGTGAACCTATCACATTGCCCTTTCTTCTGGTTTTGTTTTTACCTTTCTCTTCCATTTTATGCTTTCTCTTCTTCGGTACTTGGTGCATATACCCATCAAAATCAAAAGCTAGACGGACAATCTTCTGATGTTGAAGTGCCTCACAAAATATTCAGATGTTGCTGTCCATGCATAGTACCATGAAAAAGACACAACAACCCATCCTTCTCTGCCCTCGGGTGAGGCCAATCATCCTATATTTCTTTTATCCACATGATAAGGTTTTCATCAACAATGGGCCAACATCTTGACAAACCAAAAAATAGTAGCATACTTCTCCGTTTGTCTTTCCTCTTCTTCAGTGGGACAGGTCAATAATGTTTACTTGGTCTATCTCCCATATCTTCTTTATATATAATCTATGATTGTCCTGATGAATTATTCTTGGTCATGATCAATCGTAAGAGATCCTCTCTCTTTCTTTATTCCCACTCAAGGACAGCAGATCATCTCAGTTGACTTGAGATCATATCTTGAGTCTCTGGTAACTAGTAAAAGTTGTTTTCCTAAGCTTATATTTCTTCCATGTTTAGTCTTACTTAAGCTTTTTGACTTTCTAATATACACAGGCCGACAATTTAAGACAGCAGACTCTTCACCAGATGCATCGAATTCTAACAATAAGACAAGCAGCAAGGTGTTTCCTAGCCATTGGCGAGTATCACAGCCGCCTCCGTGCTCTCAGCTCTCTTTGGGCTTCTCGACCTAGAGAGTAAGATTTCAGAATTCAGGTTGCTTCATTTAAGATTTCAGAATACACTCAGCAGCTCCAAATCTTGCCATAAATCTCATCATTTAAGGTTGCTTCAGAATTCAGCTCCACTAACAGTCAGATACAATCCAGACAAGAACTATGTGTTGGATCACTCATAGAAGTCAGACTATGCTCAACAGCCAATAATAAATAACACAGGAAATAGTTCCAAGTTGACAAGTAATTGATTCCTGTTAGCTTAAGAACAATCGGACATCCTTTCTAATCTGTCGTGACTTGTCTCGAGTCGCTTCTTCCTTTCTTTTCTTTTGGAGATTGCAGGACGAGATTAAAAGGGTGCGCTAATAGTTGATATCTTTTGTCAGGAACTCGATCAACGAGAGCGCCATGCCGCTAACCGCGGACCTACAAATAGTTCACCAGCCACTGCAAAGTCATTTTCCGGCCTTCTGAATGAACATGTTTACTTCATGTTAACAGATGGCGAAAGGTTTTGGCGTCATGCCAATCAAAAAGTCAATATCTTTTTTACGGAGGAGGAAGGAAGGAAGCACGAAAGGAAAAGTGATGAGTAATGGGGATGGCTGATCCTTTTCGTCACAATGTATCATTAGGTCGGAATTCCCTTCTTCTTTGGCAGCTGTGGATTGTTTTAGTATCATTTAGCATGAAGAAGAGGAAGATTAGGACTTGTCTTTTGTGGAGTAGCTTCAAAGATCAACCACCTCCTCTTATGTAAAGAGAGTTCTTAATTATTGTGAATGCGGGGGGCTCTTCCACGCTGCTATTTAAGTCCCGAGGTGGGGTATAGCATACTTAAACAACGTCGACGTCGGTGCCATCAGGAAGCAGACATGAACGCCGTCAGCTGGCGCCCCCCACACAGAGAGATAGGGTGGTTGGAGGAAGACGATGACAAGAGTAGATGGGGTTGGCAATAGGGTAAGCGGCTTAAGCTGTCTCCGCATCCGCTCCACCAATTAAAATATCCCGCGGATTAAGTTAATAATGGATATAATAAAATCATTGTTCCGTACAAAAACAAATAATTGAAATGACAAATATTATATATATATATATATATGTATATATATACATATATATATATATACATATATATATATATATAATATTATATATATAAAGAATCTATTACTCTTAAGAATTTTTAGTTTTCTTCCTATTGATATTGATACAAATTTATTGTAAATTTATTAAGGATTTCTTTGTGTCATCATTTCTACTTCTCAATCTCATCCTAATCCCGAATCAATTCGGTACACTTAAGAACACAAAGGGGAACCGATTCTACATTCTGATGTGATAGAAATTAAACTGCTTTATATAATTTAACACATGTATTAATAGATGAATTATCCAGATTAGTTCATAACATAACTATTGACATGTTCATCGAGCACAGATGCAAATGTTCTAATGATGCTTTCCTGCATGAAGAACAGTTCAGTAGGTTATCACCATAACATGATAATATGATGCCGTTGTGAACCTCCTATGTTTCGATCGAGACCAACAATTCATGTGCTGCCAAAACTAGTGTTTCACGGCTTTGCCGAAGCCTTTTTGCTGCCCTTTATGTACACACACACCATAGAGAACGCATGTCAGCACAAAAGTGTCAATACACCATGGAAAATACTATGTATATTATCTGACAACGATACGAGATCGCGTACCCAAAAGAAGAGAGAGAAAAAAAACACGAGTTAAATAGCAAAAAACGAAGCATATTTGCCAACGTAGTAAACAAAGAACAAAACCAGTAGTAACGAGTGCATGTCGTTTGTGACGCAGCGTGTGGCTGTCAGGTGCATATCTCTACGTGCGTGCCATGCATCTGTATATATATATCGTTCACGGCGTCTGCGGCTTCTTCGGGCTGCCGTTGTGGTGCAGTGGGTCCGGTCCGGAGGGGGCCCACCTCAGCTCCGGCCTCACCACTTCCGCTGTCGCCAATCCTGCCTCCGGTGGTCGCCGGTCTCTCTGCTCGAACACCTCCTGCTTCGCACCATGTACCTGTAAATGCCAAAGGAGAGGAAGCATCTATCACCGAATGGAACGGTCGATGAAATGAAGCCATGGTCTTCGGAGGAAGGAGTAGTGACCTCGCTGCTTCCATCCTTGGGTGGAGCAGTCTCCCGATTCAAGCAGCTGCCCGACTCACCTTGACAACCTGCATGGCGAACGGACAAAACGTACTCTTAGGGTTATAAAGATGCAACAGAAGGTGATGGAGGAAAGAGGCGAGAAGAAGAACCTAAACGACGTCCCTCAGCCCCCAAGCAGAAGGCCAACAACAGCAGAGAGCACCATAATACGAGCCGGAACAGATCCATCGGTCTCCTCTCTTCTGGTGGCCTTTGCAGATCGATCTCCTGAAGCTGGATGTTGCTGTATTTATAGCTCGACATAAAGGAAGAAGAAGATGATGACGATGTTCCTTGTTTGGTTTCGCCCCCTTTAATTAAGACGAGGAGATCTGCGATGGGACTAAAAGAGTGTGTGGGGAGAATGATTACATCCAACTGCGAAAGATCCAAGTAATTGCCCACCGCCGGCGCGACAGAATCATGTGCAACGGACATGCGCCGTAAGCAACGAGCTTTCTGGCGTCCTCCTCCGGCACTTGCCGACGCGACCCTCTCCAGTCCGCCACTTATGGCCTCCCTCCTCCTGACGTCAACCGGATCTCGTCGCCATAATTGGCATCAGCCACCGCTGCAAATCTTCTTCCATTCGTCAGCTCTCGTACTCTCTCCTCATCATTGCTGCAAGTAATTACACATAGCAACACAAAGAGAGCATATACTCGTATCGTTAGAGAGCCCGTTTTGCTGCACCGTGCTCTCGGCAACTTGGACGTTACCATATTGGGACGAAACCTGTGGGAGTTCTCCGAGGAAACAGCTTCGATCGAGTTAAGAACACGATCTACGTTGACGTAGGCGTGAGGCCATTCTAATCATCTCCCCCAGCGAGCCGATCGTTTCATGGATATGGGCAATCATTTTGATTTGATGCACGAGTTACGTTTAGTTGCAGCGATGACGTATCGGCGTCAGTCTACAGTCAGCGAGTACTACTGATACAGCAACTGTCCGTGAATCAAAGTAGAAGATTAAGTCCCGACGACGATGAGAGAGTTGACGGGAGTCCGCTGCTGCTTATCATTCATCATTATCCCTTTTCCGTCTCAGATCGGATGGTCGTCAAGATCTGGACTTTGTTCGACACAGCCGCCGCCATGGTTCTCCTGTGAAGCCATCCATCATTACTTGCAAACGACGCATCTACATCCTCCGTGACGCAGAATATGGATCCTTGTCGCCATAAGCAGGACACTTGGTATACGTGTTGGTGCAACGGCAGTCGCAGGGCATCCTGGAATCTCTCACTTGGACACGGATTCAGCATAGTAGAGCGGAGAACGAAGCCAGTAAGATATGGGAAGAGAGTCCCAATAGTGATCAAACGGCATATTCTTAGAACAAGACAAACGCTCCTCTGATATGGGAAGAGGAAGGAAGACCTACGAGACTTTAGTGGATAAGATGAACGCAATGTATATGGCATTTCACATATTCTGATGTTTATATCAAGGTTCGTCGTATCATATCATACCAACATTTCGATCCGGGTTCGGTACGATACAATACCAATGTACCGGGCAGTACATTAGGGCGTACCGAATGGTACACCCTGATATACCGAATAATTTTATATATTTTTTTATACTATAGTAGTGTTACAGTATAATACTGTAGCACTATAGTGATACCGGACAGTCCACATACCGATAACCTATCGGACCGGTACGTACCGACCGATACGGACGGTACACTTCGGTATGACCGATCTTGATTTATATATCTTTTTATGATCAACCATAAATAATATATCTGATTTATAAAATATTTGAATTATAATGCAAGGTTTGGACGGGCCTTAACAAATTATATAGTGTCAATACATACCTCTTATAAACATACACTTGATTTGGACCTAAAACTATTCTAAAGATGATGAATGGAAAACCCAGTAATTAGATCTTTTAGTGTTGAATGCTAAGTTCCCAAGTCCATATAAGTCTGGATATCATCAAGCTTAAAAAAAGAGGTTGATATTTATGGGTTCCCATTGCCCTCTATAAATTGTTTAAATTAAATTATAATACCATATTAATTCGTTTTGGAATGACTACTAATACCAAAAAAATAGTTGGGGATCAATTTTCCCTTCTTCCTTGCAAGCGCCACCATTTACCCACTCTATCACGTGAAGGTATCACGTGATACGACACCACTGCCACGCCCTTCTCTTCACGCTTTCGCCCACCCGAATCCGGCGATGGGACCCGCCGCACAACGGGTGTTACACTTGTAAACGCGTCAAATGAACAGTGGCTTGGCACGGCGTCCACTGCGCCACGCCACTGCACCTCATCCTTCCGAAATCGTAACGTCCGTTTCCCCGCCGGGTACGTTTATCGTGACCTTTCCCTCCACGCACCCTGAAAACATACGTTTACGTGTCCATCTCAGTTTATTTTACGAAGTAGAAGTGGACGACAGTATGCCATGTCGGATTATTGTGCAAGTGGGTTTAAATCGTGGGTCGCCATAAAATAAGACAATTCTCCGCCACGCCTCGCTTCCACCTCGATTACAGAGCTAATAAATGATGGACAACAAAAATACCTAAATTCCTGTTTTACCCTTACGGTGTTGCCCTAAATTACCACACCAGTTCACGGCCGCGCCGCTCTATATGGCCGCAAACTGTTGCCCCCGCCTCTCCCTGCTCTCTCCCCTTGCTTGCTTCTCTTGTCTCTTTCTCTCTCTCCGTCTCTCTGGTTTCTCCTATGGCAGAGTTTGCGCCGAACCTGGACGACGGCGAGATGTGGCTGCCGTCGGAGATAATCGCCGACCTCGGCCTCCGCCGCTTGCACCATTCCAACGCCGCCACCGCCGCCCGAGTCCGCGGCGCATACCACCACACCTTCGACGTCGAGGGCCTCGCGAGCCAGCTCGCGGCACTTAGCCCGCTCGACCGCGTCCAGCGCCTCCCCGCCGCTAAGCTGCCGCCCGTTCTCTCGCCTCATTACGAGGTCTCACCTCGTCTCTCTCTCCCCGTTCTCTTCGTCAGCTCTGCATGACCCCATTTCCGTTTTAGTTGCAGGGGTTGAAGCCTGTCGGACCGGCGGCCCGGTTCGAACTGGAGGAAAGGGAGTTGGGGACCGGGTTGGGCCGCCCCGTCTATGGCATGGGGTTCGGAGCCTGTTCCCGGCCGGGGGTGACCCGGCCTGGCCCGACGCAGATAGCTCAGGCGCAGGCATGTGGACCGGAAACGGTTTGCGTCTCTTCTCTTCTCTCCTTCTTCTTCTTCGTTCGGTCTGTCCCTGAGATGCCATGCAAAACTCGGTGGCTTAAGGAATCTGGGTTTCATGGACGATCAGGTGGAGGCATTTGGTCGGGCTCCGCAGAGGCCACTGCGGCCGATCCAGAGCCGGCTCGGCACTGTTCGACCGGCTGGTCAAGGAAGAGAAAGCGGAGGAGGGACCGGTGTGTTCCTCCCGCGGGTGATCAACAACAACGAAGCGAGGAAGAAGCATCACAGTAAGTTTGCATGTCGAAGCACTTCCTCTAATGTCGATGTGTACGCGATATCATCTCAGCCATCGTTCTGTGAAGTACTTCATGAACTGAAGCTGTTCGCTTTGTGTTTGTTTGTCCCAACCCCTTCATCCCTACGAACGCAGTACACATTGACTGCTGTTTTCACAGACTTTTCCGCGTCAAAAGGTCACAATTCCATCTCCTATTGCTGCTGTCTCATCAAAATGACATTTTTTTCTGCAGACGCGACGGGAGGAGAGCAACAGAAGCAGCAGCCAACGAGAAGCACGGCGATGTGGAAGCTGGAGAGGCCATTTCAGCCGACCTCCGAGATGCGCCTTCCCCAGGAATGGACTTACTGAGACCAAGGAACCTCCCACCTCCTTCCTCCACCGGAGGACGTTGTTGCAGTGGTGGTAGAACTGGAAACAGATGGAACTACAATAAAAGTTCGAGGACGATGTTACTGATGCTCCGTTCTTCTCTCTCTCTCTCTCTCTCTCTCTCTCATGTTGCGTGTCCTCGTTTAGTTTTAGGATAAAATACATATATATAAAGTGTGTATCGAAACAGGTACCTGACCTCCTATTGGCTGCGAGAACCAGGATTGTTGTGGGACCCATTATAATCAATCAATAGGAGATGACCCGTGGGTTCATCATGTGGGCTGGTCTTCTCGGGGCACGGTTCTCGACGCACGGATATTGATGGCAGACTGCAGCACTGCGGGCAGGCCTGGGTGTTTCCCTTCCTTTGTGGGGCTTTGGGGGGTTTCATTGAGGGTTGTCATGGGGAGGAGCAGGAAAGGCATTGAATGCTTGTGGTCTTGTGCACAGTGATCAGCTCTCTGTGTTGGGAAATCCCTGTCGATCTGGTCAAACCGGGGTCTCCCGTGGCCTGCTTCGATAGAGCCACGTCTTTGGCCTGCTGCTATTTTATTCTGTGGGACAAGGACAATGCATCGGATGCTGGGGAACACAGAAAAGTTATACTGGGAAATTTATCGGAAAACATCTGAAGGAGATCAGTTTGCCACTGCAAATGATGAAAAGGTCACATCCCTCTTAAATTATAATTAAAGAACATGGCTGAGTCAAGAGAACATATGAATTAATAATATTATCTTATTTTATTGAGATGCATAAAAAGAGTAGCTATGT